AAACATGTAAGGCCATCTGCTGACATTGTAGTTGATATATTTAAACGCTAGCAACGTAGCATCACAAAAATGTTTTTCTGACCAAAACTAGCTCAAGCTCCGTGTGTTAGATCGCTACGCCAGCTATAATGTAATTACGTTTCGCGACTGACCGGCAAATCACCCGCAGTATACTGTCAATAGGTATTTTGTGTGTGAATGCAGACATTCTCCTGCTATGAGATACATGTATGCAAGGCCATCTGCTGATATTAGAGTTGATATATGGAAACTCTAGCAACTTAGTTAGCACAGTTAGCACTGTGTCAATGGCTTAGCAGTCCAACACAGTTTACACATTTAAACAGTCTTGTTTGATAAATACACAAATAACAATGCAAACTTACAGGTTGTATACCCAGATCTTCCCCTGCTCCAAACGGTCCAAACAAGCTGTGCATATCCGGCCTCAAACTGGGCAATGTTTTGGAAGCTTTCGTCTGTGAAATGCCGGTTCTTCGAACCTCTGGAGGAGGAACACGCCGCTGCTGGTGTGGCCATAGCTCTTCGGGATTGGTCCATTTCGTTCCGGGTACCGCATGACATCAGGCGGTACCCGGAACTAAATGGAAGACTCAAATGGGCAGTGACGTATCTCCAACGAGGCGTTTTGGGGAGGTATTTTCTGTGTTAGAGTTTTACTCGCTACAGGGTGTACTTTGAGGGTTTTGACTCTGCACACCGTTTACATGCATAAAAACCTTCATAACACACAAGGGGACGGGTAATAACCGGAAAAGCATGACATGGGAGCTTTAAGGAGTTTTGCCGTGCCAACCCTGTCCACTGATATACAATTAAAGATATAATGGAAAGCTCCAAAAAAGTTATCTAAATGTATTCATCTGTGTACTCGAGTACCTGTCACTCAATTTAGAACTGATTACATCCTTTATTACCGAGTTTCTTAAGGATCATGAACTGTATACAATAATGAAGTAAGTCACCCATTGGTTTGTGGTTTTGTAACCTCGAGTTTGACATTTTGACCGTCGCCATCTTGGCTTTTAAACCAGAGGGGACTCGAGAGGGTGGAGCTAAACACACCCACATTGTAGGAGCCATTGTGGGATCTTGTCTGCGTAAGATCACTTTTACCATTTTGTTTTGTACTCATGGTAACCGCAAAGAGGACATTGGGTCGTGTAAATTGCCATTACACAAATGCTTAAAAAAACATGATTGACCAAAATGTTACTTTGAACTTTAATGGAATAAAAACCCACTATGAAAGGGTTTAAGTTCTAAAAAGTGAACAAGGAGAGCACCAAAGTCAAATTGTCAGTCACAACGTAACCTGCTTTAGAGTCTATTTACCTCTAAAAAGCACAATCATTTACAAAATGAATATCGTTCTCTATTGACCAAGAGTCAGAACAGTGATTAAGCCCATACACTAATTTACAAAATGTTCACTGAGGTATAACTCATTGCTTACTGGGGTAAGAAATGTGTAATTTTCTCATAGACTTCTAGACAATCAGACTTTATATTTGCACCAGTAGCCCTCTGTTGGCCATCAGAAAGAATGCACGTTGTAGGCACCTTCACATTCATTCAGGTTGCTGCTTGTTATTGACAGAAAAAAAGTTAAATATAATAAAAGCAGTTGACTGCTACACAGCTAGCTTGCCAATAGCTTAACAGGCCTCATTAATTACTTTCTGCCAACAGCTCAGTTATTATTCAGGTTCCCACCAGCTGGACAACACACACACACACACACAGGAATTTGAAGCTGGCATCCTGACCTGCCTAGACTCACTCTGGACCGACTCCAGCTCTCTGACTGATGACTGTGATTATGTGTTCAGCTCCCTCACTGTGTTTGTGTGTGAAGTTTGGCTGATGTCCAGGAGCTCACACTGTCCATCTGCCACAATATACTGTCCTCACACACTCCTCTGTATATATACAGTTGCTGTGTGTGAACTCAGAGACTGGAGTTACCACCTGCTGGTCACCACATGTCAGGTTTATAAATCCTAACTGGGAGCCAGTAGTTTGACAGTTGAAAGCAAACATAAGCATTTTTCTCTCGTAAAGTAAATAACATGTATTGTATACATGTATTGATAATAGAAGACATTTTGGGGCCTGTTACTGTTCTTGTGTAGTGGTCATAAAGAGATCCTTTCATTAAGAGGCCCTATTGTGTTATATAGGTTTGTGTGCATGTAAATGGTCTGCAGAGGCTAAAATCCCAGAGACCTCCAGAGGGAGTTGCTCTCCCACACACTCACCCCCCTGCCTGAGAGGCCACTATTTGACTCCTTTGTTTAGTTCTGTAACATAGTGACATCACTATGTACTGTAACTCACACTTCTATTGGCTAGCGCTCAAACACATTTTATGAGAAAAATAAAGACCTTTTTGAACATTAAAGCTTGTAAACATGTCACAGTAGAGGCACACATTACAAATATGAACCTGAAAATGAGCCTAATAGGGCCCCTTTAAACAATTTCAACTGAAGGGCAGGGGACAAAATGCATATTGTTGGTGTAAAACGATTTTCTTGAATTAGGATAAAGTTAAACAAGTTAAACTACAAAAGCCTTTTCATCAGTCAGGCTACCATTAGGCTTTCTCTTAATGTCCCCGATTGCAGTTTAGACATTTCAGGAAAATGACAGATGTGATCTGGTGGTGAAAACAAACCATCAAATTGTTACCATCTGACTCCAATTTGGATCTTGGCAAATAAACACAAGTATTACTGCCATCAATTTCCCCTAAAAGGTGTTTGTAGTGGCCTTTCATGAGGTAGACGCAGCTGGAATACCAAGAAAGGGTACACTTGTCTTCTTTAAATAGGATCGGGGTCAATTAGGCTTCATTTAAGAGAAAGACAAAACAAACTAAACGTTCAGATGTTTCTCTCAACGTTCATTTTAAACGTAAAAGCCAACATTTCTAAAGATTGGTGAGATAGACGATTGGCAAATGATAGAAGACATGAGAGAAAGATTATTTCACGTTTTGCACCTTAATTAGATGGAAAATCACACTCTGTTTCTAAACTGATAGTCACGTTTGCTTGCCTGTGAAACCAAACAAACAGTAACACCTTGCAGAGCTGTTCTCACAGAATCCCAACACAATTAAAATAATGAAAAGTGTGTTTTGTTTAGAAATATAATAATTTGTCAGACTATACAGGAAGATCTAAAGAAGGTGTACTTGTATTTGTTCCAACTAAACACAGGGATGTTGTTTGTGGGATGTCTACCTTCATCTCGATTACACCACACTGCTGCCATCTGCTGGCAGGAACATCAACAGCACCTTTAATACACAGTATAGAGTTTTATTGTTTATATTAAATCAGAAAGATAAGCACTATAACATACGTTACAAACCAACAACATTTTATATCTCGGGAAAAACAAATGACATTACAAATAAAAAGTAGTAACACTAGTGGACAAAAAATTCTTTAAATAACAGAACTGTACATTTTTGCTAAAAAAAGGAATACACAAAAGAAAACAGTGAGACTAAGAGACAGAAAAGCACAAAGCGCAGTTAGTACCAAACAGAGCTAAAGCTAAAGGGAGGGGATAACTAGCGGATACAGGTCACTGCTGGAATATGTCAAGTCAAAATACAACATGTTAAGGCAGCAGAAGGCAGGCGTTCAGACAGCAGGGGGAAGAGGGAGGAAAAGAAAACACTTTAGACACAATTAACTGCAAAGTGGCTCCATCACTAACCCACTGTCTGAAGAGCTAACAAGAGAGCAGGTCAAAATGTATAATAGCTGAATATATAAACTCTTAGAAATCAACCCCAACACCCCTGAATCTCTTTCATACACTGGGAGAGAGCCCACAGTCCACTCAGTGCCATGCACCGTTTGTCCAAAATGATGCACAAGTTTTAAAATCCTGCTCCGCGACATCCTTGTTCTCCGACTGTTGATCCGTTCGATGCCAGCAGGCGCTCCTCTTATCGATCGAGAGTCGACACACACTGTGGACACTGGACACATGTAATATTGTGATTTCTGGCTAATTTGATCCCCCACATTGTGAACACTGCATAATGCACAAGGCGCACCTGTTCAACAGGTTGCACTGGAAAAGGTTGCATAGCTAAGAGGAGCCACAAAAAAAGGAGGGCATTTTTTGCTCCGAATCCTTTTCAGACACGTTTTGATTTAATTTAAACAGGCACCAGGGGGCACTCAATGCCCTGAAGGCCGGGTTATTACATCATCAAATGTAAATATGAGCTCTGCACAAAAACACATCACTATAGGACCATATGATCAAAGCCAAGGAAATCAAATGTATACTTTCTCACATATCGAAACCAAACACCCCTTGCGCTTTGAAATGTGTATGTGCAGTGACTTTACATATATATATGTATATTAGTCACATAAGGTGTCATTTTTCTCAATAATGGCTTCATTCAACTTCTTTGGGTTATCAGGTAAAAACAAACAAACAATCAAACAAACAAAAAAAGAGGACCCTACCAGTTTTTACAATATCAGCCTACACACTGAGAACCAATTAGTGCAAAAGAGGTTAAGTGCAATGTTACATGATGTCCGATGTCCACATGATGACTCTCTGAATAACTGTTCAGATGGGGGGTGGGGGGGTTCACTGCCACAACACGGGACAGGAAGCCGAATGCTAACAGCTATTTTTGGGCATCATGGATCCACAGCCCTTATTCACGACACTATTTAAAGTACAGTGAAAGCGCCATAACGAGTCAGTAAAAAATGTAAAATAAAACGTATGCAATGAATGTACATAGAAGTATTTAAAACAAGAGGGAAAACAAGTACAAAAAAAAAAAGATTTTCAAAATGGATTTTGACGCTGTCCCAGTGCTGCCAAAGATCTGCTCGAGGAAACCACAGCCGGGGGGGCAGGGGGAGGGGGGGGGGGGGGGGAAGTATCCAACCAAATTGTAAGGAAAATATAGCATTTATTCATCGTAGAATTGTATCTCTTTATTAATTAGAAAATCTCTAAGTAATATTGACTTATTCAATCTCATCTTTTGTAAACAGTTTGCCCTTTTTGCTTCGAGTTTGAAATACATTCTAATCAGACTGCAATTGATATATATATATATTTATATTTATGTATATTCAAATGTATAGATCTGTGGCAAACATTTGAAAAATAATCTGGTAACATATGCAAAGAAATACATTTATAAACAAGAATCTTTTTAGTCTTCATTTTTACCATGATTGTTCAGGAGCCTGAAGTAGTTTCTTTACTCCAGCTGTGAACGGCTCACTCCACGTTTGCAGGAGCCGCGAGGAAAGGAAAAGCATGTGTCGGCATTCCTGCTGCTCTTCAGCGTGGCGATGGGGTTGCTATGCTGCGTAACCATGGCGATGTGGTTGCCATGGCTTCAGGGGGGCTGTGAGCTGGCGATGAGAGAGCAGGAGAAGCGGGGATTGTTTCACGTGCTTCTTTTGAAGTGCAGAACTGGACCTGTTTCTGCTCCTGGCGCTGATTTGAATCCCAACTACTGCATCGACGCATCTCATTCAAAACGCCGTCTTAGAGATGTGTGAGGGGGACTCTGCACCAAGCAGGAGTAAACAGTGTTTGTTCAAAAGTCTCCTCCTTAAAAAGTGTGTGTATACTTCACATTTGATGAATCTCAGTGGATGCATGCACTATGCATATAGAGATTGTTGGCATGCACATGTCAGATTTTACACTCTTTACACTGCAAATCCACGTGTGTGTGTGTGTGTGTGTTCAGAGTCTGTCGCTGCGGAAAGTATCCTCCACGGAGGGGTCCGGCAGCACCATGTCGGGGTCGCTGAGCATGCTCAGTCCGTCCAGGCTGAGGGGCTCGATGCGCAGCTCGTCCTCCAGCGGGAAGCAGTCCTCCGAGTCGAAACACTCGGGCACCGTGGAGAGCGCGCTGCTGATGTCCTTCGACAGGCTGGAGTCATCTGAGAGAGAGAAGCAGACGATGGGTGAGCGGTTCCTGCAGTCGGGAAAACAATTCCTCTTGCCATGGCTCACACTGTCACACTGTCCTCATCATTAGACATGACAGCTCTTTTAAAAATAAATACAGCTAACACTCTTCTCCCTTTCAGACTGTTGCATTTTTAACAGAGTATCACTGTCTGTTCAGCCAAGGTTAGACCCAAACATCAGTCACGCAGCCTTAATGAGGTATGAAGGTTCATTTTCCTCCTATTACAAATGTCGACCTCTATATATTTAAGTATTATATAAGCAAGCATATACAGCTGAGTCGGTGCTTCTGTTAGCCGGTATTTACCGGACTTTGACAGGAAAGATCTGAAACCTGTCGTTTACTGACGGCTGTGCCGATTCTGGCTGGAGTGTTAATTGACAGCTGTTGCATAAACTTCACACGATCCACAACCTGCATGTTATAGATGCGCTTCGGCAGAAATAGCACTACAGACAGCGCTACGTGATTATGCAGGCGAACATTTCTCCATTTCAATGAAATGTAAATAAACATGCCTTGATGATGTCATTCTTTCTAAAGCCTTTGTTTATCCTTTGTTTTTAAGCTGGATAATAAACACAGATACTATTTAACCGGACATTTCCCATCCCAGTTCATTGAAGTCTCACCGGTCATGTTGACAAGCACCATTTTCTTCTAACTGAAACGCTGTTCTGAGTTTTTGAAGGGGACCCAAATAAACATTAACAACTATGGAGAACACTACAAGACACAATGTCATAAAACACAACGAGGACAAAACAAACAACTTCATAAACTTAATAACTAAAATATATATTTGATGATTTTTGTCTATCACAGGTTTGAACTAGATGCAATCAATCAAACAATGATACATCTCTAAAGAGAGGAATCAGTTTCAGGAAACAAACATGACACTTATACTTGCGTCTCGTGACACTTTCATGCTGGAAAAAAGAGTAATAACATTATTAAAAATGCTCATCTGTCTGGAGACAATTAATTGCAAACTGTCTACAGCTACCCTTTTTATTTGTAACCAGAGACCATCTTCGCTGTTCCTAATCATAATCGTCAGATGAATATTAAAATGTCCTCGCTCGTTGTTTTGTTTCATTAAACGGATCAGTACTAGCAATCATCAACATCTGTTTTCATAAACAAGAAATAATATGTACTTACCTCTACCTGCCTGCATAAAATGGCAAACCCAATTTTAAAGCAATAACATGGTAAACATTGGATTTCTGCCCAGAACATTCATCTAACCCCCTGTTACATTTTTTCCTCAAATTGTGTTTTTGTGTCTGTTTTTCCCTCCTTCACACGATAGACTCAAATGTTTCTGTTATAAACAAACAATCCTGTTTCGCTCCCAGGATGCCCCTTTAGTGGCCTATGAGGCACACACAGAAAAGGACCCCCCCGCTAGGTCTTACCAGTGAGGATGATGTTGGGCAGGCCTCCGCTGCAGTTAGAGTACAACATGTTGGACCTCATGTGCATGGGGTCCTGCAGGCTGCCGTGGCTGCCCCCCAGCCCAGAGAGGGCAGCCTGGGAGTAGTAGAGCAGGGAGGAGGAGGGGTCAAAGCAAGACCCCCCCGCCGTGGAGCTCATCGCGCTCTCCAACAGAGAGAACTGGTCGAACTAGACGGCAGATGGCAGAGAAAAAATGGCAAACGAGAGAAAGTGCAGAGAATCAGCGAGCAGAGTTCACATTGGCAGGCAACGTGTTTCCACAGTGCATAGACAACATATTAATATGAAAACTGAAGGCAGTGACACATTCGGTTCTTAATTATCTTATTAAATGTGATTATTAGATATCATGAAATCCATTCTAAAGAGTCTTTTATTCTGAAAAGCGTCTGTTTAAAAAAACTTATTTTGTTTCAACTTCTTTGTGTATTAAAAGTCGTTTTTGCTTCAAAGGGGCCCTTTTATGGTAATGTTCTGGTTGCATATTTGTATCTCTCCTGTGTCTACATGCTTTCATGTTCAAAAATACATTTATCTTTCTCATACTGCCAGTGCTGCTGCACCTCTTTTCACCCTCTGTCTGAAAAAGACAGGGTGCTTCAGTGTGCTGTTGGCTAGTAAAGTAAGTAAGTGTGTGGTGTGGGGTGTGTGTGTGCGGGGGCGTGTGTGTGTGCGTGTGTGTGTGTGTGTTAACCTGTACCTGATAAGGGTTGGACTTGGTCTGGCGATTGAACTGCTGCTCCATGAAGGGGTCGTTGAAGAAGGCTGACATGTTGTTGAGCTGTCAGAAAAGACGATAGTCAAACGTAAGCCAAATTCCGAACTCAGAGAATGATATACTGCTGTGCAGAATATGATTTTATATTTTTCAGGGTGTGTGTGTGTGCGCATGCATAGACAGCAAACTCACACACACCCTGACGCTCTTCAAAGCACTTACTTGGCTCGTGTTGAAGTCCAGAGGGATGTTCTGAAGAGAGGAAAGAGGCTGCTGTTGCTGCTGCTGCTGCTGTTGATGTTGTTGTTGTTGTTGTTGTTGTTGATGTTGCTGCTGCTGCTGTTGTTGTTGTTGATGTTGCTGCTGCTGCTGTTGTTGTTGCTGCTGCTGCTGCTGCTGCTGCTGCTGTTGTTGCTGCTGCTGCTGTTGTTGCTGTTGCTGCTGGTGGCATTGTCGACCCTGGTCCACTGCATGCTGGGATTGCTGGTAAAGCGGATAGGGTGGGGGCGGCTCCCTTGGCATGTTGCTGGTATCCAGAGGAACTCCCTACACAGGACAGATCATTCCAGCAGGAGTCAGTGAAGGCTAACTTAAACTTCACTAAAGAGTTGAAGTTGATTTATTCTGATTGTAGTGTCATTACTCAACAACACTCAACCCATCAGGGGGAAAACCATGGCACCAGGGTTTTTTGCTTTAACGTCCGACTACATTTTATACAAAGAGTTTTAGTCATGACATTAGGCCATGAGGACAGTCAGAGCCCTATACTGTAAATCAACATAGTTTCAACATGTTTCTCATTCTATTCAGTTGTATAGCTATGTACATTTATATTTCAATTTCTGTGCCTTACAATATAGATATACCCTCTTGTTAGTAAGGTAATGTGAAGGGATGTGTACCTGTGTGATGGGGGACAGCGAGGGGGACATGGTGGGAGACAGCTGCTTGGCCAGACCCCTGCGCTGCTCGGTCCCTGGAGACAATGTCAGAGGGCTGATGGGTGCTGTCCGTCGCCGGGGGGAGTTGCTGGACATGCGCAAGGACGAATTGATGGAGGGATTGCTGAGCGACGACTGCAGCTGGCAGTTGCTGAGGGACGCCTGGATCGAGGGATTGCTCAGAGAGGAGGAGAGACCTGCAGGGACAGGAGAGGCAAGGGCACATCCATCAGATAAAGAAAGTATTGTGCTGTGTCTAAATGTGGGTACCTCCCTTAGTACACTGCATGTCTTGCACTGAGAACACTTATGCATTGTGTGAATCCTGACTGCTACTGTTGTCTCAAATTGCACACGGCTGCTGTGTCTCTCTGTCAATAATTGCTAGCTATCTAGTAACATTATCGTTTGTGGTAGCTAATCATTTAACTTCTCGATTACCTGATATAATGAATTCTGGTTTCTTTGTGACACCAGTGTAGTGTTGCTTGAATTGTAAAATAAACCTAGATGTATCGCTTTTATTTGTATAGTGCTGCATTTACAGGAGTGCAACCTGACTGGTGGCTTTATTTCCATTACGCAGACACAATGCCGATCGTTTAGGTTGCCCAGTCAAACATTAAGAAATGAGTTACCTTTTTAACACTTCATGTTCCCTGGCCTAAAGGCAACTTTTGTTTAATGTGTTTTTGGTTAGATGCATGAAATAACGTCTGTGGTTAAGACGAGCTTAAGATATTTTTAAATACCCACTTGTGAATCCCAAAAAGAGACTACTAAACGTCATCAGGTAAACATTAGCCGCCTTGAGCTTAGCGGTGGTGATGTGCAGCGATGTGACCGTGACGCTGTTCTTTTAAAGCCTAACGTTAGATAATATGTGTCAGTATCATAAACATGTGTTATTTTCTGCAATATACTGAAATCCATTGGAAGAATCTCCTTTCTTGTGTTGAGGGACTTGTAACGGGTCGGGTCGACCTGTAAAAATACGTCATCATTGCACCACTGTATTCCAAACTTGTCTTTTAGACGGTTTTGAGTGCACCTCTTATAGTGCACTGCATTTAGCCATACTTTGTAATGGTATTCACGTTTGGAACTCACAACAGCAGATGCGAGTACAGACGTACGCAGATTGAGACACAGCATCAGAGAGTAGATGCACATTAGGATGAATCTAAATGAGGCAGCTGTGAATCTGGAGCAGATATGGGCCCTCGGAAACCAGGAAGAACATGTGGAAGTTATGATGTGGCGTGAAGTCTATTTTCCAGAATACTCTCCAGCCCTGCCCCTGCCACCCAAAACACTACACTTTATTGTGTGTCTGGGGAGGGAGAGAAAAGGTGGAGAGCAGAGGGGAGGAAAATGAGAAGACAGAGGGGATCTGAGGGGAAAGAAAAGGGCTGATTGTAGCGAGCCAGAACAGGGTCAGAGTTCTTGTGGTTCTTTGGGGCTCCGCCAAGCTGAACTGTGTCCGGCATGGGAGCCCAACCACACATCCACTCACAGAACACAGAGAGGAAAGACTGAGAGGGAGCAGCGGTGGGTGTGATCGGATCAGGCAGCAGAGTTCACAGAGAGGAGACAGAGGCATCATTCAATGAGCTGTCCATAATGTCTGCTGGGCTGGCAGAGGAAACCTGGAACCTGCTCAAAGCTCTGCAGCAGTGATTCACAACTTTGAGTGTAAAGCTGAAGCAGACTTTCACAATATTGAACCTACAAAGAAAAGAATCCCCAAGGATACTGACTCACTGACAGGCCCAGAGTTTGTAATCTCGACAGTCAGTAGGGGCGTATGTTGAACGACTAATTTCCACTGCATTTTACCAGCTTGACTCGCTTTTGGTACCAGGTTTCTTGATTTTGTTTTCTACTGCAGATCCTCCCCCTCAATGTAGGTGGTATTTTCAGCTGATATTCACAGCAATGCTGCGTGAAACTGCTCTTCTTTAACACGACACAGCATATGGATCTTTTCGACGGAAACCAAACTGAGGAATGTCTCTAGACTCAATCCAACTCTAGAGACCAACTCTGATCAATTTCTGTTGGTGCAGGTCCGGTCCAGTACTAGCTTAAACAGAATTAATTGTAGTCATACCAATTGAAACAGCATTTGTCAATATGACCATTCTGGCCAATTAAAAAGCAACCATGGCCGGCCTCTGGTGGCATAGCGCTAACAACGGCGTCACAGTATTTCATCTGACGGTAGCTGCCAAGTCAAGTCTGATCTGGTCCCGTCTGGTCCAGTGTTTGGCTTGATTTGATGCTGGATTGTCACATTTTTTAAACCAGCCAGACCCTTGTCTATAGTTGGTCAGTTGACTATGGTGTGGTTTAGCTGGCCAGGACATGAGAGTAAAAAATTGCAGCTACTAATGATGGAAGCTTGTCTTTTTATAAATGGCGGATTTATGTGACTCTGCTGCTCATGTTCTACTGCGCAGATGTAAAAATGAAAGACAAAATGCAAAAACAAAGGTGGGGGCGGAAGTTATGTAATCAGTGTATGTGAGTACTGCAATACAGAGTACTGCGACAAGCCTAGCCCGCTTAGAACCTTAAAGGTAGGGTAGAATGGAAGAACAACACACACGAACGCGCACGAGATAAGTTTGTGCACAGATGGAAGGCTGACAGGCAGGTAGGCCATCCAGTTACTTTAGCCGGGCCGGCTCAGATGATTGGTGGTGCTTTTTACAGTACTACGGCTTCCACAGATGACATTTTTGTATGTATTTATTGTCAAAGCATTTAATGTATTCATTGCTATCGGGATGTTAAGAGCATTCCATGGAATATAACAAGTGTTTCTGAAGTGAATGACCTACCCTACCTTTAAGCGAGATGACTCCAAAGGGAAATGTTCAACTTTTGCCACAAAAAATATTGTCTCCAAGCCAGTCAAGAAGTGCTCTACCGAGCTGTGGAAATGCGGCACAAGTAAATTCAGATAACACAAGGAATGACAGACAGACTATCATTATAGTTGTGTTGCTAGGCAACCGCCCAAATCTTGCAAGATGACACATTCTTGTAAGTGACAGAAAGAAAAAACATGTGTCCTATTGATTGACAGTTTGCTAAGGAAACAGAGGGGGAAATAATGGTGGCTAGAGAGGAGACAGTTAAACACCTCAGCAGAGAAGAATGGAGTCTATATGAGCAATGTGAACATCAGGTGAGCTTTTACTCCGAACATCTCTGAAAGCATTCTTTCATACTTTTCTTTCCTCTTTAAAGTTGTAAGTAGATAGTGCTTTTTTTTTTAAGGGTTACATAAGTCCAACAGGGTGTAAAGCATGCACACAAACACAAAAGACGTGCTTCACCCACCCTGCGAGTTGCCGATGCCGAGGTGCATCATGGCTGCTGGCAGGTTTCCGGTGCTGCTGCCCCCGCTGAGGTTGGGGTACCCTCCATTGTCCTCCGGGTCCAGAGGGGTGGAGAGAGGGGAGGCGAAGTGCAGGTTGCTGAGGTCGGGCAGGGAGCCCCCGGTGTTTAACAAACCCTGGTATTGGGACAGACCCGGGTTCTGCTCCGGGGACGGGAATATGCTGCGAATGCAAATAGAAAACTTTTGTGACTCATCAGTAAATCACTAAATTCATGTAAATATATTGCTCATAACTGAATGCATGGTCATTAAATGTGCTGCAGATGCCATTTCAAATTGACAAGACGTTTCTTTGACTCCCATCCACTTGTTCTTGTTTTTCCCACCCACTCCCCATTTACTCCAATATTTCTCTAACTTCCATTTGTGCTCATATGCCGCATTAGCAGCATACGAGCAGCGACAGTGACTCATTGTTGTCTGTACCCACAGAAACTGGCACAACACAAAACAATGAACAAACACTTTCGTCCAAAAAACACACAAACAGTGTCTCTCTCTCTGTCAGAAAAACGGACAACATGAAATAGAGGCCCAGTAGCTGTACTGTGTTGCTCTCTGTTTATTATTAACTCGAAATAAAGCCTGACCATCTACTGCTGCTGGAGAGCTAATGAATTGCTAGTAAAAATGGAGACGTCTGTTTACCTCTAAATCATGCCATGACACCGGAGGGCGTTTGCACTGGGAAAACAAAGCCTTTGGAATCTGATTGTAATGACTCTGTTCCTCTTATTTCAAAAGGGTTGGAGTTGTAAAGAGGAACACAGACATCCTGTTTGACGAGGTGGGAATGTGCGGCATTTGATCTCTATGATTCCATTGTTTCTTGTGACGAGCTACAGTGATCTACCGCCCATGTGGCTTTGTAACATCACACTGATGGTGATGATCTTGAAACAGTTGAGTAAAAGGATAAAGGTTTATTTATGAATAAGATAAAAAGCTCCTTCCCATTGACTTACTTTATTCCAGGCACTTCACATGATTTCGGCCTTGATGACAGAGACTGGACCTGAAACAGAAACACATCAAATACAATTAGATCAAATGAAATGAACACAGCATTTCATCTTTGGACTATTATGTATAGGTTAATAGCTTGCTGTAGATTGCTACTCAGCCGTCTATCACAACATTTTCAGCAATGAAAAAAGAACAACTGACAAGGTGATCATGGAGCCCGACTCGAAGCCGAGTATGTGGCCACATACTGAATAAACCGCCGACTCGACGAAATATTTTATTAACTTAAAAAGTATTGCTTCCCTTAAGAAAAAACCCAAAACTTGGTTCCACAGTGTACCAACAGCTGAACTGCGGTAACAACTTAAAAAAAAAATGAAGGCAGCTCTGATCGCTGTTTTCTGTAACTGTCCAACCTTGTTCGCAGTTTTTTTTCCAACCTCTTTCCTTCTCTCCCTTGATTCTCCTAAGCAACAGTCATCATTTTGTTAGCAGCTGTGTGTTATCAAGTATTAACAACCTCTGAAATGTCCAAATTGACTAATCAGAATCGAGTATTTAACTAAGCCATGTAATAATATAGTATAGTATGTAAGGGGGTCAAAACACTGACATTGACAAAGAAATAGTTTTGAATGTGTTTAAGTCATGTCATGGCTGATACCTGGACTGCTAAATATGGTCTATATGGGCACCGATTCTCTGTGATGGATCAGGCTATTGAAGTATAATCAAATAATAAAACATTGCACATTTCCAAAATAATGTCCGTCCTTCCTTCCCTCAGGATTGGTTGAGCAAAAAACAGTAATGTCCAAATCAAGAAGACATTAATACTTGGAAATGAAAATAAGCACTGACAGGCCAACTTTTTGTTTCATCTAATGTGGAATATAACAGTGCACAAAAAGAGGGTTTGTGCTTTTTCTCGTCTAGTTTGACGATTTCACCATGAGGCTTTGACATGGGGCTGCTGACATTCCTGATGATTGTAGTTTCTTTCCTGCTGGCTGATTATCTATTTGTGCTCATGCAGAAAGACTGGTCCAACTTGTAGCCTGACATGTGTATGACAGTCACAGCAGGAATTTACTGTGTCACAATTACCTATCAATGTGTCCATTCTTAAAAATGGATGGAAGGAAATATCAATACATTTCACACATTGTGTGTTTTGTGATACAATAACACTATCGACCTGTGTGCATGTTTCCTGAAATCGGATTTACACTAAAAAAGGTAATATATCCCCTTTACTCGGACATAATGCAAGACATTTAATTGTAACCACTGTATTACAATACATATAATATAACCAGATTATTGTTAATACCCAGTCCTAATCTGAAAATACATAAACTGTCTGATTCCAGTCATTGTGAGCACAGAAAGCACCATCAGATGGAGGAAGTAGCGAGTGGAGTGAGTCTCACCTTCTTAGCCTCCCACAGCTGCTTGGGAAGGGGCTTACTGACACCTATTAGATTCTCCTCGTTACTCAGCGTGGGGAAGGAGAAGACTGCAGAGAAGAAGAAAGTACACTTAAATTAAACATATTCTACAGACAAACGTATGTAAATCATCTCTTCATTACCGACGGAATGCTCAACTCACCGTTTCCGGAGCTGTCCACCTCCGCCTCAATTACACTGGCTGCATTCCAGCCTTCACGAGACAAACAAACAAACAACAAAAAGGAGAGGGGGCGGGATGATCGATGGAGAAATAAAGAAAGGACTTAGAAACAAAAACACATGAACATTTAAGGATATTTCAAAGTTAAACATCTGTTTGAATTATCCCGGCATGTCTGGCACAATGATGTGTCGCTCGGGCCCTTTGGAATACACACTGCAATTACTGTGTGGCTTCATAAACACAACAGCTGGACATCTGGCATCATGTTATCAGTCACAGAGACGAGGAGAGGGAGGAGGGGCGCTGGGTGGGGGGTTTATAGACTGATGAGAAATAAAGAGAGGGCCATTGTTTTTATGGTACCACAAAGAGCCTCTTTTTCCTTCCTTTTCACTGTAGAACTGATCCCAGAAACATTTGTCTTTCCTTCCTTTTAACTTGTCTCTGTTCGTGTCTAACTCTTGTGTTTAGCAACAACACTTCCTCTGCACTCTGTTACTTATTAGAGAAATATTTTGTTGTTTCTCTCGATATTTAAGACTCCTCATTGCTCATTCTCTTGCATGAGCTTTTGAACCGTTGCCCAGCCATTCCTCCTCGTTCCACGCTCTCATTCTCTCTGAGGCTCATTCATTTTGAGAGGCAGCTCTCCTGCTGATGGAGCAGATGGGACAATGAGGCGATACAAATAGTCTGGCATCGTTTCATCTCCCCCTCAAAAGGTGTTTTCTCTGCGAAGCTCGCCGAGGCGCAACTGGAACGGAAACGGGGCAACTGGGACGGAAAAACGACTTTCCAATTTGCAGAAAAGAAAACCCAACGAAAAGTCTGTATTACATTACATGTTACGTGTTAGACGCTTTTATCCAAAGCGACTTACATACTCAATACTGTGGGCAATCCCCACTGGAGCAATTTGGGGTGAAGTGTCTCAGGGACACAACGACATGCTGACTGCAGTGGGGTTTGAACCTGCCCACTGCGCCACACGCCTCCCTGTATCTTCTGCTCTGAGTGTTTCCACCCCGACAGTGTGACTCATAGCTGTAATTCCTAGTTAGATGCTTCTTTAATCAGCCGGGGTTTAACACCACTCGAAACCCGCCGAAACCTTTAGAGGTGTCAACGAGGCCCCGGGTACACGGCTCTCTGCACTCATGCGAGTAAGCGAGCAGGCGGCACTGCTCGTTCCCCAACATGAACCAGTGTGGTGTCACGGTCTCTTTTGGAGCTGAGGATATACAGCCCTTATAGCTATGTGTAGTATGTGCTGCTGGACTATATACAGCAGGCTATGCAGAAAGATTGAGCTGTATATACAACGTGATCCTCCACAGGCAGCTCAGTTCTCCTGACAGGAAACATAATCATCCACACTTTAACTATAATGGCTCTGCACAAGAGGAGAACTGAAACAAAAATTCCATTGTTAATGTATTAGTCACACAGCAAATAATGTATTGGAAACTACTTTGATAATAAAGAGGACATATTCTGCTCATTTTCAGGTTCATGTGTGTATTTAGTGCCTCTAATAATAATAATAATGCATCACATTTTTTATTAGAGCGCTTTTGCAGGTGCTCAAAGCGCTTTACAATTACACATTACACATATTAGACATGTACGAGTCATTACTGTGGACATTACCCACAGGAGCAAATTCGGGTGAAGTGTCTTGCCCAAGGACACAACGGCCTGACGCAGTGGCGGCCGAGGCGGGTTTCGAACTGGAGTTCACCAACGCCCCTTGATCTGATGATCAACGCTCTAACCTACTGCGCCAAAATCTACTGTGAAATGTCTCCATGGTTTAATTTTCAAAAAGGTCTTTATTTCTCTCATACTGCCTGTGCTGCAGCACCTCTTTTCTGAAACTAATGTGTAATATATGCAGGAAGTCGGACAATAAAAAAATTAGGCATTACAGAATTTAGCAAACTTTATCTAACTTAACTACCAACTTACTACTAACATGAATACCTGACACACACACACACACACACACACACACACACACACACACACACACACACACACACACACACACACACACACACACACACACACACACACACACACACACACCACACACACACACACACACACACACACACACACACACACACACACACACACACACACACACACACACACACACACACACACACACACACACACACACACACACACACACACACACACACACACACACACACACACACACACACACACACACACACACACACACACACACACACACACACAACACACACACACACACACACACACACACACACACACACACACACACACACACACACACACACACACACACACACACACACACACACACACACACACACACACACACACACACACACCATTTAACCCTCCGGTTGTCTTCGGGTAAAATCTGACCGATTTACTACTTTCATCAATCATAACTTTTTTGTTTTAAATTCGATTGCATTAAGGCTTTATGATATCCTTCACAGTAGACATTTGAACATATACAATTGCTGATCACCACTTTCATAGAATTTTGGATGATTTAGTCAACTTTGTAACACCCATGGTGTTCCCGGTCAAAAATGACTGCCATAAAGAAAAGGAATTGGTAACCATCCGGATCAGATAAAACACACAAAAACACCCACACACATACTCTAGATGTGTCCCCCCACCCTTTATGTGCCCAATCCCCCCGTGTGAATCACACCTGGCACTCACAAACACACAGAACAATTTGACACATGTCCCGCTCTTATGTGCCCATCCCCCCACATGGATCACACCTGGCACACGCAATACACGTTCAGTGTCTATTCGTTGTATATTTAGTGCAGTGTTTCATGTATACCAGTAGTCTGATACAATATGTACAGTTTGAAAGGGTGTTAAATGAAATTTGGTGATGATTAATGGTTTTTGTGTTAATGTAATAGCTGTTAAAACAGGACCGGTCAAATTTGACCGTGAACACCAAAGTAAGGGGGGGGAAACGAAGACAATAGGAGGGTTAAAGCACAACAGACCGCGTGTTGTAATTTGAAATATCCACACTGTGTTTGTATGTGAAACTCATTCTTGGCCCTGATCTTAAGGCAATATCCTGTTTAAACCTGTTGGCTAAACACAGAGAAAAGTGCTGTGCCGCAAGAGCCCTCCTCTCATCCACTCCACACCTCATCAGCGCTCAGATCAGACAAAGTGCCAAAAACACAACGACGCTGGGATGGAAACAGCTCGGGAGGAAGGCAGAGAGGCATGGAGGAATTACTTGACTTAGAGTTAGATCCCTTTCTTTGGACCAATTACAATCCAAGAGTATAAATGGAACATTTTAAGCCGGCAGATTGTGATTTGAGTAAATGAGCCCAGATTGGCTTACAGGACTCATGCTGGCTGCATGGACTGTGCTCTCTGTTAATAAATGACCTGCAGAACAGAAACGCAAACATCATAAACTAGCATGATTACTATGACATGAGCCCAGTATAGGAGCAGCCTGCATACTGCGTGAGACTGAGAGGCTGTCTGCTAGAAAAACATGTTGCCTCTGTGCTGCGATGACATAGAGCTCTGCTTTTCTCCTGCAGAGTAGAATGCACTGAATGAGTGTTTGTGGTGACGTCTCAATACATAAGTGGATGTTAATTACACTCTCCGGGCTGTTTCATGCCTTGCTGCTGGTGCACGTGTCATACTGTGAATATTCACCTTGCCTACTATTTTTTAATGTATCCTGTGAGCCCGGCTCTACATGCTCTCTCCATGGAACACCACGGGTTTATGTCACATCAGGTGAGTGACAAATAATGCCAAAATCAAGCCTCAAATAAAACATATTGTTTTTAAGATTTTTAAAAGAGACTGCATAGCCTTGTTATAATTGATTTTAAGCGAGGGAAACTAGCAGATATTATGCTCAGTTTCAGGTTCATATTTATATTTTGTGTCTACTTTGACACATTTACATGCTTTAATGTTCAAAAGCTCTTTATTTTTCTCATACAGCCTGTGCTGCAGCACCTCTTTTCACCCTCTGTCTGAAACCAGAGCCCAGTCTGCTCTGATTGGTTAGCTGGCCTGCTCTGTTGTGATCTTGTCAACAGCTTAGAGATGCCCCGCCCCCCCTTAGCGCTAGCCAATAGAAGCGTGAGTCTTACATAGTGATGTCACTATGTTATGGAAGTAAACAAAGAGTCCAATGGAGGTTTTCAGGCAGGGAGGGGGTTATGTTAAACGAGTCCTAACCAAAACATTCAAGTTAACCTGTTAAGCACCAAGCCTGTTTTTCATGTTTCAGGCTCGAAAATGACATGCCCAAAACAAATGACTACAACTTAACTTCTAAAAGGGTTATATGAATAATTTCTTTTATCAAAGCAAGGTTACATCTGTGAGTTGGATGTAGAAATGTCAGAATCAATATAAATGTTTTTTATTTTAAAGAAAATTCCGATTTTACATAGTAAAAAACTGTAAATTATAGTGTCCGTCCAAATATTCTTTTTTACTTATAGTGAAAACTACCCTTGGATGATGGGTTAGTAGACTAAAAGCTTTAGGAATCCAAAGTACAACATATAATAAGTACCCTGTATCAAGATTGATGCAAAACAAGTGACATTTGACCTTTTTAGAGAGGTTTAGCCAAAACCACCCCACCTCTGAGGTGATTTGGGTGAAAATGTTTTTTTCCCCATATCTCTGGCCCCCCTTGCTCGATTTGGATGGTTGACACCTCTTTCTGACCGTTAGAGCCAATAGAATCGAAGGGGGAGGCCCCCACACACACACGTTGTGAAGAGAAAAGGTGGGGGCTGCGCGCATGTAAATGTGCACCAGAGTGAAGCGATCTCTCGCTCTGGCATTTGGAAACGAAAAAGCAGTTTTATTGCTTATGGATTATCAGAAATCATTTCAAAGAGGACACAGACACATAGGATTAACCTATGGATTAACTGCAGCATCGTTTTTTTTATCGTTTTAATGCCATTGAAGACCAGTTTTGACCAAGGTAAGCCATGTTAGCGTTTCTAGCTACCTAGCTCCACATGTTATGATGTACGCTTTCGTTTATAGCGTCGCAAATGTTTATCACTGAGTGTTGAGGTGGGCACCTCCAGATTCTGTGTCTCCAGGAGAACAAAAACGAGTGGTTGGCTGTGCATCTAGGATAAGTAATAAGGGAGTTATTGTGAGTTTAAGTGCCGTTTTAGGTTACATCTTTTCGCTCGTGGCTAATTCAGAGGCTGAGTGCTAGCATTGTGGATTTTTTTTTTATTTATTTTTTTAAAAGATCAGTTAGCTGAGTTTCTTCCCGTTACATGGATATAAAACATTCATAGTTTATTAAATATTAAGATTCCTTAGACGTTGTTTCCTGCAAATGACGCGTTTATCCGCCCGGTACCGGGCGGATGGTGCGTAACAGGTTAAGTAACAATAAACAAAAAATATCCTGATGGAAGGGGTCACAGTTTGTTATTCTATTTCTCCAGTGGAGACTATTTCAAAGAGAATATATAGAATCAATTTGAAAGGTCTATTAAGGGAGTTTAAAGTGTGTGCGTGTGTTTTCTCTCACCATTGCGCAGGGAGGGACCTCGACCCATCTGCTGGTTCATGCCAAAGGGGTCCTGAGGGTTTGGGTTCATAGCGCTTGTATGGAGAGCCGAATCTGAGTTGGTTCTGTGTAGGATGAAGAGGAGGAGGAAAAAGAAGGAAAATTATGCAAAGTGTTCCAGCACCTTGGACAGAGGCAGATGATTTCTCAGGGCCGCGGAGTTAGTGAGTCACTCTGCTTCCTGCTCTGCCTCCACACACGCTGCATTCATTTGCAATCTCCCACTGACCTTACTCATAAACATCATCACAGCGCCGCATTAAATGTTTATCTGTCTGAGATTAAACAAGTTTGGCTCAGTGATGAAATAATGATCAAAGGTTTGTAATGCCTAATTATATCAATTCAGGGTATACAACAAACTGATGCTGCCATAGACGATAAGTCTAAAACTATTTTGATAATCGATAAATGTATTGTTTAGGTAACGCAGAAATATGGATATCCCTGCTTTTCTCATTGTATAAAATATGAACTTACATTTATTTGGGTTTTGAAATTAAAGACAATTAAAGACATCACCTTTGACTTTAACTGAGAAGCTGGGATGAACAGTTTTTTATTTCTATTTTCATCTTAATAGTGAAGATAAATAACAGATTATGGATTTTTGATGAAAAACATTTTGGTTGCAACCCTACAGTAAACTGACAACATTGAAATAACTTAACATATAATGTATGTCAACTATCTTTCAGTAAGATCATTTTTTCACTGCTTTCCCTTGGGATTTGACACCAACTGTTTCCATAATGACAAGTTATATGTCCTGTAAATACTTTTTTTCTGAAATATGAATTGGCAGCTATAAAAGATAAATTGAAATCAGGGCTTTTTACGTCTGATATGAGCAAGTTCACTTCTCACTTGTGCACAGACATGCATGGGTCTACCCACACAAATCCCAGCGTCTTCGCACTCCAGCTGCAAGCTTTCTCTAGCGCTCTCAATTAAGCCCCGATGGCTCCTTTCATGAGTCATTCCTACGTTTCTTCTAGGGGGCAAATTGTTGTAATCACACTTAAGATTGATCCATCCTAATTTGATGCTTTTAGAGCTGCCCAGTTTGGTTTTATTCCGTCAATTATGGAAGACAGCATAGATAAAAAGATAAAAACAAAGTTTAAAGATTAAAAAAAAATACAGTATTTAAAAAAAATAAAAAGATATTGGTTGTCTCAGGAAACTAAAAGGTAACTGATGTCATTAAGCCACATCAAGGAGATTTGTGTACATAAGGTATGTAAAAACTATCAAGTTATTCAAAATATGGATGGAAACTCATCATATTCCAATGATGGAAATATTCTTATAATGGAATACATTTGCCATGTTTTACATTATAAAGCAAAGTCCCAACAAGGTCACTATCTAAACCTATTTTATATTTTACAGTATGCACATATTAATAGAGTGATGAGTTTTTGTAGACTAAAGTGGTCATCTTTATGAAACACTAATGTATTACGATGTTTTTATTTGCAGTCTTAAAAGGTGGGGTAGGTAATTTTGGAGAAACCAGCTCGAGTGCGTAGAATTTGAAAATACACAACCGGAAAAAAATCTGCCACTTCCTTACAGAGCCCCTCCTCCAACACACACGAACGCGCACATGACCAATGAGGGCACGAGATAAGTTTGTGCACAGATGGAAGGCTGACAGGCAGGTATTATCCAGTTATTTTAGCCGGGCCGGCTAAAATGATTGGTTGTGCTTTTTACAGTATTACGGCTTCCACAGATGACATTTTTTTATGGATTTATTGTCAAAGCATTTAAGATATTCATTGCTATCGGGATGTTAAAGGTGGGGTATGTAATTTATTTCAGAAACACTTTTTGTTATATTGCATGGAATGCTCTTAACATCCCGATAGCAATGAATATATTAAATGCTTTGACAATAAATCCATAAAAAAATGTCATCTGTGGAAGCCGTAACGCTGTAAAAAGCACGACCAATCATTTTAGCCGGCCCGGCTAAAATAACTGGATGGCCTACCTGCCTGTCAGCCTTCCATCTGTGCACAAACTTATCTCGTGCCCTCATTGGTCATGTGCGCATTCGTGTGTGTTGGAGGAGGGGCTCTGTAAGGAAGTGGCAGATTTTTTTCGGTTGTGTATTTTCAAATTCTAGCGCACTCGAGCTGGTTTCTCCAAAATTACCTAACCCACCTTTAAGAGCATTCCATGGAATATAACAAAAAGTGTTTCTGAAATAAATTACATACTCCACCTTTAAAGCAAGTTGTGAAAGCAAACTCATTATAACTTATGTGTTTTACCTAAAATAACATGTTTAAAAATAGTTGGTGTGGAAAAAAAAGTCAAGCAAAGTATTGAATTTAGACATTGAATGTATCGTCAATTAGAAGACTTGTTTCCTTTCTCTTAAAGGGCCAGTGTGTAGAATTCAGGAAGATCTATTAGCAAAATATGTGGCGTCGTGTGGCCCGTAGGTGTTCGGATCAGGGGGTCACAGGTTCAAACCCCACTGCAGTCAGCATGTCGTTGTGTCCCTGGGCAAGACACTTCACCCCAAATTGCTCTTGTGGGGATTGCCCACAGTATTGAGTATGTAAGTCGCTTTGGATAAAAGCGTCTAACAAGTAACATGTAATGTAATGTAATAAGAATATAATATCCATGACTATGTTTTTGGAAGTACATCTAATACATTCAATGTGTTTTGGTTAGCTAAGAACTAGCCTGTTATATTTACATAGAGAGGGAACTCTTCTTTACGGAGTTCCATGTTTCTACAGTAGCCCAGAATGGACAAACCAGACTCTGGCTTCAGATATGGCCTTTACATTTTTTACTTTACTTGAAGCTCACTGGGAACGCCAGCCGGTACTTGAATTTTGTTTCGCCTAGTGTGGTGGTTACAAAAGCATATAAACCCACCCGGTGGTTGGTTATCGCAGTATTGTAAAGGCTCATTGGAGGGGTATTCAGTTGGTTGCAATCTTCAATTGCAATGCTAGATGGCGCCAAATCCTACATACTGTCCCTTAAAATCATACATTTAAATGTTGTCATTTTCTCGAGATAAGTTTCAAAAACACAGAAAGATGTGAAAATAAGCAAATGTGAATTAGAAGCCTTGATGTTAGAGCCGGAAGGAGCCATGAGTCCTAAAGCTGGGTTAGTAAGAGGTTAGCTCATATTTCAGAAACTGTCGAAGACTAAAAGGAGAAAAGATTATTAATAAACAAACCATAACAGTTTTTAGCTGAGATGTGCTGCCTTCTTTTTTCAGTGCTTTAAAGGAAGAAAGGATGGGATTACTGAGATGTTACAAATCAGACAGAGATTTACAAAGGATTGAAACCAGGGCGCGATGTAACCAAGAGAGATTGCAAAAAGACAAAGAACAGAATTGTTGGCGTCTGTGTGAGCAAGGGATAAAGCCGTGAAGATAGACTGAGGGAAAAAAGGAAACAGTGAGAGAGAGAAAGGAAGGGAGGGGGGGAGGGCGTCAAGGGTCACCTGTTGAGTTGTGATATTAATCTAAACCCAGGCCGTTTTTCCTCAGTCCATGGCTGCTGTTCCCTTTAAAAGAGACGGAGGAAAAAGATGACAGAAATTTACTGGATGAAAGTAGAGACCCTTGGCTACTGCCTTTAAGTTTGTGAAAAAGAGAGAACAAATTGGTTAAAAAGCCCATGTTGGCGCATGTTGAAAGAAAGAAAGACCCTGGAGAATACTCAGATACAGCACAATACCATTGTACATTTCGAGCAAAAACGGAATAAAGACAAAAGAAAATTAAAGCAGAGCGAAGACTCGAAACCAGCTTTGTAAACCTTGAGCTATAAACACTTGATCTGAAGGGTCATTGTCAAAGGCTGAAACCATGGAGTGGGAACAGTGGCTAAGTGGATTTTTCTGAAGCGTTCAGCAAAAAGGGTCTTCATAAGGCGCGTTCACACCGGAGTACTTTTCCCGTTTAGTTCCGTTAGTACCCCTTATGTTGCGTTCACACCAAAAAGAGTACTTAGTGCCGGGAACTTTTGCCCCCATTTTTAGTGCCTGCTCGAGAGGTGGTACCAAAAAAGTACCAATTTCTATTGGCTGGGCGAATTGCAAACCACGCCCCGTAAAACGTAAAAAAGTTTTGTGAAGCATTGCATTGTATTTGTGGCATTAGCATTATTAGCATTAGCATTAGCCCCGCGCACCAACGGAGAGAGAATAACTTATGGCAACACAAAAAAAAACATGGGAGCGGTGGAGATGAGGACGTGTCGGCGTTCTAGCGATTTACTCGGTAGGCTTCAGTAGAAGCTGCTGGGAGTCCCAGCAGCTTCTACTTATTATTTAACTCAGCTGGTGAAGGCAGTGCTCTCGCTACCGGTCCCGGTAGCGCATTGCTTTGATTGTTAGCAGCATCCGCTTGGCTAACATCTTGCATGTTCTATTGAGATTCATTATCTAACTCAGCTGGTGATGGCAGTGCTCTCGCTCCCGCTCCCGGTGGGACTCCGATGGCTCAGGGGTTGCCCTTTGGGCAAAGGTGGCGTTCCTGCCCAAGGTGCTTCAACAAACCCACTTCAAATCAGCCTGTCCAGCTGGCCCGCTTTGACATTCAGGAGAACGGCACGTCGGAGTTGCTGTGCCCTGTGGGTGCCCCAAGGGCGTATATTGATGCTACTGCCTGTATACGGCAGTCGGAGCAGCTCTTCGTTTGCCATGGCGGCACTAGAAGAGGTTGTGCTCTCTAAACAGCGGCTGCCCCACTGGGTTGTCGATACCATCTCACATGCCTATGGGGCCAGTGGCCGCCCCCTGCCATCAGGGTTGCGATGCCACTCTACAAGGAGCATCTCAACATCTTGGGGTGCCCCTGGAGACCATCTGCGCCGCGGCGTCGTGGGCGTCTTCTGGCACATTCTCCAGGTTTTATCGGGTTAATGTCGCCACTCCCCATCCTTTGGGCGTGCTCCTGTTGCCGAGCACCGCTGCTTCCAGTAGTGTGCAAGGGCTTGGATTCTTCATGACATTGTTGGTATAAGTCATCCAGTGCTTAAAGCACCGCCTCTGGCAGTCAGCAGAGATGGGGTCGTTACTAAAAAAAAGTAATATATTACATATTACTTTAAAAAAAAGTAATATATTACACTACTTCGTTACTCTCTACATAAAGTAACTCGTTACTTTACTCGTTACTTTACTCGCAGGGCCGGCCCGCCCCTCCCTACAGGCAGATCACGCAGACTGCTAAAGTTTCAAATGTTCTCTTTAGTTCAGTTTCCATTGTCGCATAAGACTGATCCAGATAGCTCTAACTATGGCTGTCCTCTGTCTCCTGCTATCTGTATTTTGCGCAGTATATCTCTGAACGATGCGATGGTGATTCCACTGTGCAAATGGGCAACATTACCTCTACTATGAAGGATGCTACAAGCCTGTCCATCTCTGCTTTGGTTACCGGTCCTCCAAATTCTTGCGGCGGCGCACTCACAACATCCTCACTCTGGGTTCGGGGGTCCTTAGCTATTAGCTTCACCTTAGCATGTGTTCTTTGCAGGTGTTTGTTGAGGTTTGACGTGGTGTTTACAGCAGTGGATAACAGCTTCTGGCCTGGACACAGTTTGCACCTCACCGTCACATTCCTGTCTATTCTTCGGACGAACTCAAAATAATGGGCATACCTCCACCCCTCGAAAGTTATCGCTGACTCAGCCATGTTTATGGAGCACTGCACGCGGAGATGTGGACGCGCAAATCGCGCAGATTACGTACATATAAACCTGCGGCGGAAACCCCTCTTGTCTGTCAGTGTGATTATGACTGATTTTATAAAAGTAACGAAGTAACGCGTGTCGGGGCAATGTTAGTAACTGTAGTGTGATTACTGAATTATAAAAGTAACGCGTTACACTACTCCGTTACCGACAAAAGTAATATTATTACAGTAACGGGTTACAAAGTAACGCGTTACACCCAACTCTGGCGGTCAGTAGGGACGAAATAGAACGATAGTTACGTCTGTAACTACGGTTCTATGAGTCCCGGATGACCGCCAGAGTATCCTGTCACTCAGAATTCTTGTGTGCTCGCGAGAAGATTCTGGGAACAGATCCTCTGACGACACCGGCAAATATAGCCGGTGTCACGTGGGGTCACAGGTGGCTTTGTTGGTATTGGTATTCATTTACCATTAGTTACACTATTGTCCCCTGTGGCCACAGTTGCTGTTAATCAGCAGTATTTAAAAAAAAAACTTTGAAAAGGCTTTTTATAGCCCGGGACATGCTTGATGCCCCAGTAAAACAAGGCTATTATTAAAGTCTGAATAGTTCAACATGGTGCAACATGAAAGCCTGTAGGTCTCCAGTCACACTACAGGGGGCCATGTCGGGCATGGCAGAGTCCTTCCATTCACTGGGACGTTTTATGAGCTGTAGACACACTACAATACCTCCACATAGTTTACCACACCTGGTTTAGCCACTACGCGTGTCACTGACAGTAGGGTGTAGTGGCCTACGTTTATATTTAGATATAAGGAATGCAGACAAGCTGTGGCACTCCACCCATTCAATAAAAAAACCCTCTGACAGATTGACATGTTCATTTAGATTTTGTCCGTTACTGCCATTCATTTTACTGCTGGTTTATCTCATGTTGAGAATGTGTATTATGTTTAATGAAAACATATGAAACTAACTTAGGATAATGGTGAGTAAGAAGCACATAGCAAGGAGGCTAAGCTTCTTTAAATCAAGTTTAAAAACCTTAGGGCTAGAGAGAAGTTGCTTTTAGCAAACTTCAACAATGGCTTTTTGTCATAGGCCATCAATAAGACCACCTACTGTATATGGGGGATAAAAGCCCCCGGAGAATAATCACACTGCATTTCCCAAAGAGGACATTTTCAGATCTTTCCTTTTGGGAGCATTTATACAGAGCGATCTCCAGGGAGTGTGTTCGGAGCTTTCATCCCGAGAGAGGCTGGTACAGGAATAGCAGGCATTACTGGGTGAATATAAGAGAAAGAGGGCGTGGGAGTGTATCAAAGCTTTGACCCTGAAACAGCTGGTCTCTGAAGGGACACATACTGGGATGTACTTAGGACTGATGCCGGAGGAGCCCAGGAACCACAAATCCCATTTAAGAAATTGTCTTCCCAGAGTACAGTAATTTTCTTGGACCCGTCAGATTTCCTTACAAGCTTGTGGATATGAAAAAAAGCAATGGCTTGACACACTACAGATGGATTAAGTTGAGAAGTCATTACTTATATTTCGGAAAAAAAGGGGGAAAGAAATCCAAATCCAGAGGGATGATAAAATCTGTTGACCAGACTGCTGGTCATCGAGCGATTAAAAGGCTATGTGAAACGCTCTGTTTGTCTGCATTTCTGTCATGCCCAACGATCCCTTAGCACTGACCCACTCCATTCTCAGCTCTGATTTAAACGAGGCTCGTCAGCTTGGCATGACTACTTCATCCAAAAACACAGCAGTAAATATATAATGAATTTGTCATTTCTGTCCACCCGGATGATTTATTTTTGCCAATCGTCAGTGGTTGAGAGACTGAATCGACAGCAGGAGACTGATCACTGTTTAGGTGATGAAGAACTGAAACAGTTAAAGATCTCTGTGGCTCCTCTCCAGAGCTGTAATGTAGCTGTAATGTAGTGCAGATGTGCTTGGCGTTGTAAACACTTTCCGCCCCACTCTCCCTCGAGACGGACAAGCTGGGGATCTGCCTTTCAAGAGCTTAACGACCATTTCCATGGATGGATTTTATGTTGAGGCACTGACCAGGAAAATGTTTTGTCTTTTTCTCATGTAAAACCGTGTAACAGAACATTTTCTTTAATGGAATTTCCCAGTAGTAGGAAGAAGAACCTCCCTGAGCCAGACTCCAATCCAGTTCCCATTTCAACTCAAACAGAGCGTTATGTCTCCTTAAAACCAACATGTTCCATACATTTCAAGAGTGCTTTGACAAGCCAACATTAGGTCCGTTTTAATCGGACTCTGGTGTGGTTTGAAGGGAGTTGTGAAGCAGTAATCATGCTCTGGTGTGGACCAAAACAAACGGTCCAACACAGATTGAGAGAGATGGTACCATTTTAAAGCGATCCCTAGGGCGGTCCAATAGCAGTGAGAACATAATCCAACCCAATTGTAGGAAGTGAACTAAACCAGCATTTACAGATGGCAGCATATCTTGTATGAATAAGTGGATCAACACATTGTTGCCAACCTGAACCAGAGGCTCCGAACACTTTCCATTTGTGTTTGTTGGGAACACCAAAGCAGTTATACTACAAACATAGAGTATCATGTTGGTTGGTTTGGGTTTTCTTTGCACCTGTTGATTTACATTTTTTTATTTTCCACCGCAACATTTCTGACCAAAGAATAAAGACTTTTGTGAGTACATTTCCAGTCTGGGCTTCATAGTAAACGACCCTGGGATTTTTTATTTTTTTATTTGGTCCACCTTTAAACAAAACCAAACAGTATCATTTGAATCTAATTCGACTATGGCTTGTGAAAGCACCCTTAGAGTAAAACACAGATTGTGCAAAAGCGAACTTATATACTGTTCATTCAGTTATTTCCACTTATACAGCCTACATTTCAAGGAACCATTTGCTAAATATTTCGAATGAAATACTATCAATAATGATAACATTTGTGAAATGACAAGGTTACATTGGAAACATGACCCAACAAGTGACGTAATCTTGGTTCCACAAATTTGATAAAAGTTTCGCAACTGAAAACTACATATTTAGATGTTGGAGTTCAGCTTGGACCCAGTGGTGTAGCCTGGACATCTGGTAGTTTTGAAGCTATCATAATTAAAACAGTTACTACTAATATAATTTGTATGTCAAAATTGCCATCAACATTCTGTTCTGGGTATGGAATAATGGTGCTGCAATAGTACGGTATTATGGTGCAACACCATTGTTTAATTCTTTAGAGAAAATCCTGGGTTGCCTTTCTATCTGACCTTTCCATTCAAATGTTTTGCAAAACTTTTTCGGGGATATAGTTTGTTTAATATTTGAAATGGTTGTCCATCTAACTGTGATTTCTGTTCTGCTCAGGGATGAGGAACATGTCTTCTGTATGCGCCTGAAGTTCCTTCTTACAAATTATATCCTTCTACTTTTGTGTGAAAATTATTTGCACCACCTTGATCCATTTTACTCTTTCACATGCTCTCTGGAGCCCAGAGTCTGTAAATCACCCATGAGCCATAAAAGTCTAATTCACTTATGACATCCTGCCAGATCCCTCAACTGCAGGAAGGTTTACTAGCCAGATTTTTTTTACATAGCAGCAATAAGCTACTAGAAATAAGAACGCATAGACATGTTTGTCTTGGCAAGAAACATCCAGATCATATCAAAATATTTTTTCAAAGTAAGCTTGTTACACCTCAAGCTTGGGCTTAATACATATTGTTATCGATATTAAAAAGCACTCAAACACAATGTAACTATTTCTTGTGTAAAACTTGCATATGGTAAGATTGGTAGAAATTCAGTTCTCCAAGCTTTCTGACTCATCTGTTCGGACACAGCCAGTTTTCGCCAGGGGAAACTAGTTTATCTTTGCCTGCCTTTGACAGTGAATTTGGCCAAAATCTACTGCTGAGGGGGACATGTATCCGTGTTACACACTGTGACAACAATCTGTTGCAGGTTGGAGCAGGAGGCGATGCTCGGCCTGCAGAGACTTGAAAGAGATGATGCCAATCACTAATACAAGGCTATCTGTATGGAATGGTGGACAGCAATCAAAGGGAGTGAAATAGTAGAGATAAATGCTTTGCCACTTTACAAGGTTGCATGAAAAATATTATTTTCACAAATCGAAAAAGGCCGGGAGAATTTGATTGTAGGGCAAGTACTGTTATTTTCACAGTGACCACGAATGGGAATCAATAGAAAATAAATGTTAGAATTGCTTTGGTCCATCCCTTTACAGCATATAACAAAAACACAAACGCAACAAGTACCTTCATGATGGAAAATGTAATTATTCAATAAAAAAAGTAATTGGTTGTTTTCCATATTATGATGTTGAGGTACCATAATGCTCAAACTTTCATTGAGAAATACAGTGCGGAACAGAGCCATGCCGCGCAAATAAAACGTCTGCATTCATTGCTTTGTGCCACATGGCTGTCCCAGAAACACACCCACTCTGATAACACGACGTTTGTCAGCCAACCTGTTTTGTGCTGTCAACAATGACGAGAGGGCGTGGGCCTTATTCATTTCTACAGTACAAGCTGTTGTGGTTCGCTCAACACGGAGCCTGGCGAATGTCTGTGTCTGCGCTTTGGAAGAAGAGGAGGCAGGGTGACTGGCAGCCGGCCAAAGCCAGCACACTAAACACAAGTGTGGAGACGGAGCATGAGTGAATGGGGAGGAGCTCGGCTGAGCCTTTTTAACACAGGGCCATAATTCACCCTCTTGTAAACACTGAAGAAAAGCCGCCTACAATACACTGACTGCTCTACGTAGGCACAACCAGATCTGGAAAAATGAAGCTCAAATCAAGGCCAGCTAGCAGTGTAGGATTGTTTCACAGAAGGTACCTTTATTTAATATGTGCTAGGCTGGAGATTCTGGGAAGTTGTGCTGTGACAACATACAATCCCTTAACAGTAGGTTGACGGCTGTTGGGCATGACCTTTAAAGCAAAAGGCTATCTGTCAAACATCTTTAGGTTGTCTCAGCCTTCCCAGGGCTAACACAGCACTTGTGCACAAATAATAAAGGTTAACAGCTCCGCCCGTCGCCCTGCCCCAGTTCTGCCCTGGACATTCGGTCATCGATATATACATTTCTGTTTGATCCAGACGGCTGGAGCCTAGATGTAGAAAGACAATACTAGTAGGCACAGAGAGGCTTGATACAGGAAACAGGGTGGCAAAAGGAAACCCTTCCTGTTGTAAAATAATATAATTAGAGGAAGAAGAGAAGACAAATTCAGAAAGCAGTTTAACAGATGTGCCACTCACCTTCTCCAGTTGTTGTCCAGAGGGGGGGACAGGTAGACGGCTCCGTACGGAGAGCTCTCTATGTGGGTTTGAGTTAAGGGAATTATAGGCACAGAAACATGTGATAGTAAGTTCAATTTTATAAAAGATCTCAAGTATTGTTATTACATTTTATCACCAAAGACGAAATGGACGACAAATTGAATAAAACACATTTGCAATAAGACTTGAAACTCTTAAGTATAAAGGCATTTGAGGTCTGATTCTAAACGATAATGTGTTTTAACTACAGTTCTAAGCTCAACTTGACATGAAATCTTAAGAAGGTGAGAGTCCAAGGTGCAAAAAGAAAAGAAAGCATTCATATTGCGAGCACATTCTCATCAAAGCCCCATAACGATGACAGACAAGCGTGAACAATGGAGCTGCCTTTTTCAAATATTTGATGAAACAATGACAGCATTATTTGATTTACTACAGAATGTAGAAGCAGAGTTCCTGACTTTGTCTGAAGAAGGGCAGGACTTCAGAAGGGTGGTGTTTTGATTTGCCGACAATCTTAGTGTTTGCAAGTGTAGCTCCTCTGCTGAAATAGTCTCCTCTCTGGGTGGTTCAGGGAGGGGTGTTTAAAATGGTGACCGATCAACAAAAACTAATTAAAGGTCCCATGTCATGGCCATTTCTACTGATCATAATTCCATTGTTGAGGTCTACTAGAATAGATTTATATTGTGCAATTTTCCAAACTCACATTGGTTTCTCATACAGCATCTCTGTATACTATGTGTATTCACTCTCTGTCCTAAACGGCTTGTTGGAGCTCCTGCCCCCCCCCCCCTCCCTGTGAGCCCACTGTGCTCTGATTGGTCAGCTCGCCCACTCTGTCTACCACTATGGTCTACCACCATTACAGCGGAACATCAGTTATTATGTGTTACAATGGCGTTAGCAACCAGAAAATGACACCAGTAAGGACAAAGAGATGAGAATGCTGCGTGGGGTCTGGGTGCCGTGTTGGCGGGTAGTTGCGTGGCTCGCTGCTGCGAGGAGCGGACAGTGCGAGCTGGGTTCATTTCCTGCTTGCTGCGTGGGGTCTGCAAGACAGCGAGACATCACGAATGGACGCGGGAAGGGGGGGATGCTGAGGGGGCTGCAGCACCCCCATCTGCGAGGCTCCACTACCACCCGCAACCTTCATAACACACAAGGGGACGGGTAATAACCGGAAAAGCATGGCATGGGACCTTTAAAGCTTTGAGATTGGGTACCACTCAAGGACAAACACTGTTCTACACAGCATCTGTTGGGCCTTGGACAGCATATTATCAGTAGAAGTGAGACAGAATTACAGAGACAGGAGCCATGCTATCAACACTTGCACTAATTTGATGATAAGTCCCTTTTAAAATATTATAAACAAATACAATTCAGGGGAAAGGACAGCAATGTTGTCTCTCCAGACTCAGAGGAGTAACAATCCGGTCAAACGGGTTATGTGGTTGTTTCACATGCTCTTAGCATTATTCAACAACCCTATTAGTGGGGTCAACCCTTAACTGTAGATGGAGCACAGAAGTTTTGTGTCAGGTGTGTAAAATTGGGATATAATTCAAACTTCACCCTCGATTTCTGGACAAATTAAAGCAACACTCCATTTTCTAAATCTGGCACTGTTAAATGAGAGCCAGAAATTGCTCTACAATTTTTTATTTAAAGAAGTTGCTTTTCTCCCCGTTATTATCAATCAAAATTATCTTTTTTTTCTCCCCCATTTGTGTTTATTTTCCTTCCTTTCTCCGACAAAAGGCTTTTATTAATAATCTAACATAAATCAAACTTTTAAAATGTTGTCTAAACACAAGCAGCTGTTTAAGGATTTCGCCTACACAGATTATAATATAATAAAAACGCAATTCAATCAGGATATATATTTAATTAAAATTATTAAACAACACTAGGAATCTGACCAGGTTTTCTCTGCGACATAATCTGTGCTATCGATACCTTCTGGTTTGCACAAAAGAATACATTTGTGGCGTTCAAACAGATACAAAGACCTATTTCTGATAGCATTATTTTGTCTTAGTGGAAACTAAGAGCAATGACAGCGGAAGTGGTTAAGAGATGGATTCGGACCATAAAGCTACTGTATATATTATGCAAGACCTCCAAAAATCCGACCACTTATTTTAAGTCGCTCTGAATCCTCTTTCAGTATGAATAACGTCAAAGAAGAACCAGTTCTTTACTCCTATTACAATAACAGAGATTACTTTCTGATGGCCTTTGATCAGTTTTTAAAGTATCTTCAAGACTCAAAACTAATGGAGGGCAACAAAAGTCTATACAGAAATAAAAAGTAATTTTTTTCTGAATAGCCACTAACCAGTTTTTAACCATCTCCCCTTGTTTGTGTGTTTTTTTAACACTGGCTTTCTTTAGCACATAACCCTTGAGCACTTTTGTTGCCGTACGTTTTCTCAAAAGATACAAACACGTGAACAGGACGAAAGTTGGACTTAAAGGTCCCATGTCATGGCCATTTCTACTGATCATAATTCCATTGTTGAGGTATACTACAATAGATTTATATTGTGCAATTTTCCAAACTCACATTGGTTTCTCATACAGCATCTCTATATAGTACTGTATGTGTATTCACTCTCTGTCCTAAACGGCTTGTTGGAGCTCCTGCCCCCCCCTCCCTATGAGCCCACTGTGCTCTGATTGGTCAGCTCGCCCACTCTGTTCTGATGAGTCTACCACTATGGTCTACCACCGTTACAGCGGAACATCAGTGATTATGTGTTACAATGGCGTTAGCAACCAGAAAGTAACACCAGTAAGGACAAACAGATGAGAATGCTGCATGGGGTCTGGGTGCCGTGTTGGCGGGACGTTGCGCTGCGAGGAGCGGACAGTGTGAGCTGGGTTCATTTCCTGCTTGCTGCGTGGGATCTGCGAGACAGCGAGACATCACGAATGGACGCGGGAAGGGGGGGGGTGCATGACATGGGACCTTTAAGTTATCATCATTCCCTCTGCTGAGATTTTAAAAGACATTTCTAGTTAGAGATGTCCACACAAACATACACCTTGTGACCAAAATCTGACTGGAAATGTCTGTCTATTTTGACCATAGATTTTGACACAACAATCTCTCCCACCGGTGACCTTTACACCATGTTGACCTGGCGATCTATACGTGCACAGGAAACATTTACAAACACCACCCACAACATACAAATGGACTTCTTTTTTGTTACTAACAAGAGCAGACTTTTAGAGGAGTGCCTAAACCCACGCTGTTTACATTACAGTGAGTTCTACATTACAACACAAATGCATAATAACCAGGAAATATGTGAAGCAAACCGCAGAGCTTTACATTGCCTCAACTAATTCAAACTGCAGCGCTGATCAATCAGAAACAATCTGAAACAGTCAAGTATGTTTAGAGCTGTGCTATAACGGTTGAACATTCAATTTAAACAGTCAAACATCCCCCTCATGGTAGGTCAGTGGCGTCTATTGTACACATGAACCCTGTCCACATAACAAACATGCATGACTCCATACAAACTGAAGAGGCAAGTTTCATCAGTGAGGAGAGAAAAATTCAAACTAATATGATTATGAAATGCTTTCCTCAAAGTACTCAAGGGTATTGTCCAATAGAATGATGCATTGTTCACACATTTGTTTTCAGGCCGACCTGTTAACATTGCAAGGGCTCCCTCGACAGAAACTAATGCTAAAGCTAATTTTGTTGCGCTGTTCGGATAATGTCCACATATTAAGACCACTTTCATAATTTAAAAATGCAACTGCCTGAAGTAAAAAGCTAATGTTAAGCTACTCACCAAGGCAAAGCTAAAGTCAGCTAATGTTTGGACTGATGAGGTTGAGTAGTCTCATTTATTAACTTGTTAGCAACCGCAATTTTTTATGAAAAGAAGCTTTTGTGATTCACCAGTGGCATATTTACTTACATATTTTCTGACGTAGAACACAACTTAAGAATCTCTTAAGCTTGTATTTACCACAGACCTTATTTCAGGCAACTACCCACAAACTCATTCATAAAATGTTGACTTCGAGAAAAGGGAAGTGGTAAGAAGCTAACTTATTTCCAGGTTGACTCATTCATGCAACACACTAAAACCGTTACGTTATGATTGTGTTTCGATTGTTCTCCGTGGAAATATATACGCTGGTGTGACATCACATGCTGAGACACAGGACACACTCCTCTCGAGCCATCACACACACCATAGTGACATTTCACTGAATCATCTCTGTCTCAAGGCAAAGGAATACACAGATCTAGTTATTAAAATGCTACGAGGGGGGGGAGAGTGCTGATGGATCAGTGGGCTAAGGGTGTTTCATGTAAATGCAACACATTGGGTGTGAATCCAGATCAGGAAATGTAATTAGCGGCCTGTACGATTGCAGGAAATTAAATTAATGTTCTCTTATATTAATATACCGTTCTCTAGATAAAGACCTTTAAAATATACCAAATGTGTCACAGAATAAAATTACTTGTTACTATTAACATAGGAGAATAGGCACTGTAGTGTGGAATATACAAGTGTTCTCAGTTGATTCGTGTATTTTATTTGGTGTTTTCAAAGTTTTCAGTTATGTTTTTCAAGGAGCAAGCTCTTTGTGTGATCACCTATAAAGGTATAATAATAGAGACTGTACATAGAGTCTTCATTCAGAACAATTTCAGACACTCGAGTCAGGGACCTTGGTTTTCCTGCACTTCAGATCGAATCAGTAATGATCCTTAAAGAGCAACTTGCAGGTTAGAGACCCCAGTGAATAAATGTGTAGGAAAATGATGTATACACTAGATTTTCTAAAAAATATACATAAATATACACTACAGTGACATCTGGCGTCGTTTTGGAAGACATTTTTACTTCCGCATAAAAAAAGACCACCCACGTGTGACGTCACATGAGGGAGAGCGGCCGGTCTAACATATTAATTAACATGGTTCACAATGCTAGTTTTGACACAGAAGAGCTTGAAAATGTATATTCGTATGCATATGACGGACCACAACCATATAATTATGAGCCTGCTATGCGTCCACGAGACCAGGAGCAGCCAAGGATTAGAAGAAATAACGGCCATCGGAGAGAAATGGAGCTGTGGTGTGAGGAGAACCAGTGGAGAACTGGGCAGCTGTCTTGGTGAGTGACCAGCGTTAGCTACAGTTAATGTTAGCTAACGTTGGTCACATCACAACATTGTAAAGTTAGCTATCATATATCAGGCTATAACTAAAGTAGTATTGATAATATAGTAACATCCATAACAGAAACTAATGCGCAAGTATCAGCCGTATCTCGCGTTACCTAATGCAACTCCACACTACGTCTTACGGTGCTGTGTACCGGAGGGGAGAGAGAGAGGAGCGAAGGGGGGAGAGAGAGAGCAGCGAAGGGGGGAGAGAGAGATGTAATACGGTTTCCTGATAAACGTTTTGTTTGATAGGCCTCAGCTGTGGAGAGTATGTGCTGCAGGGAGGTGGATGCACCTCGCACAACGCACCCGGGAACGAAAGCTAGCTCCGGTCCTTTTCCTGTTAGGGAAACTGTGGACTCGATGTCCTGACACTGACAGGCTGGAGTTTGTGCAACCTGCACAAACTCCAGCTCACCATGATTAAAAATGGTGAAATGGTAAAACTAGAGAATGCAATTCCTGAAGAAATTGCTAGTGGGAATGCTTTATGCTGAAAAGCTGACACTAAACTGCTATGCTGAAATGTAATGTGTAAGAAGAAAGTGAAGAATTTAGATTGAAATGATACATGAACACTGGGGGCTTGAATGTGTGATGAGTGAAGAAAAGAAAGTAAAAAGGCTTGGAAAAGCAGCAGAATAATTGAACTGCAAACTTTTGAACTAACTTGATGGCGAATGATCTGTCGCCATGGCAACGGCATTTGATGACACCCCATAATACGCTTAGATGCGTTGATGGCTACATCGTTACCAAACCTGTGAAGTTTTGGGCCGTTTGGAACATTTTCACTGAAGTTATGAGAAAACCGTGTTTCATGGCGAGCATTGTGTTGCCATGGCAACGGCATTTGAAGAAACCCCATAATTGACGTAGAGCTGTTGAGGGCTGGACCGGTGATATACAAGTGAAGATTGGGGGACGATTGGACCGTGTCCATTGGACTTACAGCGACATCGTGTTTCATGGCGAGTGGTCTGTCGCCATGGCAACGGCATTCGATGACACCCCATACTACGCTTAGATGCGTTGATGGCTGCATCGTTACCAAACCTGTGAAGTTTTGGGCCGTTTGGAACATTTTGTGTGTGAGAGAGAGAGAGAGAGAGAGAGAGAGAGAGAGAGAGAGAGAGAGAGAGAGAGAGAGAGAGAGAGAGAGAGAGAGAGAGAGAGAGAGAGAGAGAGAATGAAATGAACAGTTAGAACTGACTGCTGTCAGTTGGAGTGATGACATCATCGTGTTCCATTACACAGGTGTTTATAGTTGAGCTAACGAGCTCTGTAGAGATCAAAGGTTTGCATTGTTCTGAATGAGAGATAAACCTCTTACATGTGAACGTTTTGTGGAAGAACGATAACAGATATCTGTGAAATTTCAAAATGTGAAGCATGTCAAGGAAGTTGAGTATCTGAAGTGTAATTTTTGTGTACTTTCGGGTTAATAATGTGGCCTTTTTGGCAGTTTAACTAAAGGTGTGCGGCTGCTGCTGTGAGGAAATATCAGCCTGAAATTACAATGGGCTTTAACCCGTTAAGCCCATAGCCTGTTTTTCAGGTCTCAGGCTCGAAAATGACATTCCCAGAACAAATGACCATATCTTCCCTTCTAAAAGGGTTAAATTAATAATCTTTTTTCTCAAAGTAATGATAAACCTGTGAGTTGGATGTAGAAAAGTGAGAATCAATATAGATGTTTTTTATTTTAAAGAAAATTCAGATTTTACATAGTAAAATACTTGGATGATGGGTTAGTAGACTAAAAGCTTTAGGAATCCAAAGTACAACATATAATAAGTACCCTGTATCAAGATTGATGCAAAACACGTGACATTTGACCTTTTTAGAGAGATTTAGCAAAAAGAAACCACTTCTGGGGTCATTTGGGTGGATTTTCCATATCTCTGGCCCCCCTTGCTCGATTTTGATGGTTGACACCTCTTTCTGACCGTTAGAGCCAATAGAATCGAAGGGGGAGTCCCCCACACACACACGTTGTGAAGAGAAAAGGTGGGGGCTTCGCACATGTAATTTTGCATCAGAGTGGACCTATCTCTAGCTTTGACATCTGGAAACGGAAAAGCAGTTTTAATGCTTATGGATAATCAGAAATCATTTCAAAGGGACACAGACACATTATATTAACCTATGGATTAACTTCAGCAGCGTTTTTATCGTTTTAATGCCATTGAAGACCACTTTGGAGAGACTACAGAGCCAAGGTAAAAATGTTAGCATTTTTAGCTACCTAGCGTCACCTGTTTTGATGTCCGTTTTTGCTTATAACGTCGCAAATACGTATAATTCAGTGGTAATGTCGGTGTCAAACGATTCTGTGTCACCTCACGATGTGAAACAATGTGTTGGATGTGGTGAAAAGATAAATAATAAGGTTTTGCGAGTGATTTTCGGTGCAGTAAGGTGTTAGCATTTTTCGCTCGTTGCTAATTCAGAGGCTCAGTGTTAGCATTGTGGGTTTTCTTTTGAAAAAAAATATTAAAATGATCAGTTAGATGAGTTTCTTCCCGTTACATGGATATAAAACATTCATAGTTTTATTAAATGAACATGCCCTCAGACACTGTTTCCTGCAAGATGTTGCGGCAGTACCCCGGTACCGGGGTCTCTCGGGCTTAACATGTTAATGGAGACATGTTGAACGTTTTTGTCACTTCATGCCCTCAAGAGGCATTTTGTTGAACTATTTTTGCTTAATTATTTGTCATTTTTCAAGCTACGAGATGTTTTCCTACGTTTGTCATGAAAAATTATGTCTCAGGAATGTAGGGTTTGGGAATTATGGCAGTTTTAAAAAAATATATGAAGGCAAATTTCAAGATTTGCTCCACTCTAGCTGTGACATCACGCACTCTAGTTAATGTTAAAATCTGAAGAAAACCTCTTTAACAAGGTCTGAACAATGTTTAATATCTCTAAAAGTAAGAATCAGATTTAAAAGTTGTGTTACAGGAATAATGTCAGAAAGATGTGTAACATTTTAAAGTTGGAATGAGGTTTCTGAGTGAAAGTATGAATGAACAGTTAGCAGTTGAAGTCGCATGAAGATTTGTTGAAGTCTGAAGAATATCTCCATTGACTTCAATGGTTAAAAATTTGATGAATTATGGGATGTATCTCTGGAATTATGAAAGTTATGAATGAGAAAAGTAATAGCCTGCGACTGAGCTGAACGTTTTGATGTTTGAACGGAGTTTCTAAGATGTTGAATGTGGGAGGAGAAGAGGGCCAAAATAAGTCGGCGGAATAATAATAATAAACTTTTTGTCCGTAGCATAACATATAGTTGGAATGCTGTATCAGCATTCCCAATAAATTACCGAAAAAATACCAGCTCACTAAATCACAACCGCTCAAACCAACTACCAACTACTACCGCGGATGGGGCAGAGAAGGAGTCCGAGAAAGTTGCACCCCCATGTGACGTAATATGACGCGTTTGACGTTAAAAAATAAGCAGTTTTTATTAGCAGAGCTCAAAACGGCTCCTTTCCCCTCTGAATTCCTGCCCTTATGTCTCGTAAAACATCAAATCCTGCATTAACCTTTTTAATTGTAATTTTCAGGCAAGGTTAAACGTAAATGTAGTAAAAAAAAAAACCTGCAAGTTGCTCTTTAAGTGCTCAAATCAACAGCAGTTCCAACCACAAGACACATTTGGAAGTTGTAATTTAAATTTTGAGACAGTATTCCCAAGTTACAGAATGCAATCCATAGTCTTATAAAATATCTGTTAATCAATCTTGGTCTAAATTCAGCCACTGGTTAAGACAAAAAAACAAATGGTAGCAGATTATATTACGCAATCTGGTTTATAAAACTAGTGAAACTGGTAATTAAAAGAGGCATAAGAAAACAGATTGTTCTGTTTTTACTCACTTACTATTTTAAAGAGTGTTGCTGAGAGCTAAAGTACCAACACTCCCGCCTATTTTCCTCACCCTGTGTGTTATCCCCATTACAACAATGACACACTTGTGCGGCTGCCTAAAAATCACATCTGCTGCTAAATACACATGCATACACAACCTGAGAATCTCCCACTGTCAGTGTCCATTAGGCGTAAGTAAAGCGCGCTGTCTCTGCGTCACATTTCAAACTAGCATTGTGACTAAGTCTGTTCCTGAGGCTACTGAACAGCTGCCTACACTGGTGAATGGCGTCACGCTTGATACAAACACAAACCGCCATTCAAAAAGAAAAACAACAATAAAGACCAACAACCCGGAAGCCATAACACCCACATCTCCCACTGTCAGTGATTAAGCTTGGAAGGATATCTGCCGTCCGTGCTTGTCGACGGGTCGGCGATGGGGGGAGTTGATGCGGTTGCGGTCCCGGTGGACCCTCTCCACCAGCCCGTGGTGGCGGGTCCCTCTGACAGAGTCCAATCCTGACGGAAAGCCCCCCTGAAAAGAGAAATCACATGATTAACAGTTCAGTTTACCACAGATGGAGAAGAGTATTGGAAAATAGCTTTGTCAAATGTTATTTAAATCAGTTGTAACTGAATGTTGTCACTTAGTCCAATTTGTTCAAAACCAAAATGTCCTTTGTGTTCATGCCCTTATTAAAGTCTCAGCTGAAGGCCGAAAGCCTTTGTTTCTTATAAAGCTTGTCATGCGAGGACTGCTTCATGGGTTTTGGGTTTTTTTTTGGATCACGCTGGCTCTTCAAACACAAATGTTGAAAAGAGGTGCTGTAAGATAACATTTTTTTGTTAAGACATTAAGTACTCTACAATCATGAATTGATTATAGGTTATCAAAAGGTTATCATCGGGTGGAATCTAGAAGCCCTTTAGTTTGTTGAGATTTGTTCCCATAACAGAAAGTGAATGGACTCTACAAGTGACACTTCTCTCCCTCCATTGATTTGTGGTCCTGACCCCGGTGTTGCAATTACTGCTCTACCTCAAAGGGCCATTCCTCAGTATAACAAGGCCACTTTCACCCGGACCCTCTGTGTCCCAGCATAACCCACTCCTCTGAGAGCTGACACAGATACAGGCCCAGGAGCTCCACTGCCTGAAGGAGAGCTGAAAACGACTGCACTGATCTTAAAGTCCATCTTTTTTTCTAGTGAGCAGCTGAATAATTTAACGCTCTGAGGAGAGGCTTGTTTGCACTTCTGAAGGTCCAGCAAAGCTCAGAGTGGGCGCCTTGAGGATGAGCTAACGGTGCTGCAAGATTCATCATACCATTGCATATGCATTTTTAATAACCTTTTACCACATAAAAAAGGCAAACATTTGCATTATATTAGTTTCAACTCAATAAAAAATAAGAAGGCATTGCTTATTTTGAATCCATAAATATCCAGATCACCAGTTGGCTTTTATTTTGAGTTTAGGAGAATGAATCTTTACTATTTGATGTAATATTGATAAATGATGATCTGGCTTTAATATAAGAATAATTTATGAATGTTATGATATATAATATATGTATATTATAATTTGATTTTTGAGGCTCAGGGTCCCATGACAAAACATTCCTTTAATGGGTGCTGTGGTGTAAACAGTTTGGGAGCCACTGGACTAGAAAACATTGGAGCTGATGGTAATTGTCCTCAGGCCTTGAAGAACCCTGAATGAGGACCTTGATTTTAATAGATTCTAAAAGGGAGACATGGTTTTAAAATAAGAAATATTCAGATTCACTTCAGACAGCCTTGTGCCTAAAGGAAAGCATTTGAGGACATTAGCACAAAATGAACTCCAATGATTTAATTTCTAGCACCAGCACATCTACAAGGCTTTGTTCAGACTGTAAGAAAAAAAAGCCGCCTCCTCATTTTTTTTTTAGGGCAATGCTTTGTTGGCACACAGCTGGGGTGCTGATGCAGAGCACTCGGAATTTTTTTCTTAAAAGCAGCAGGTCCACCCCACAAAAAAAGTGTTTAACCTCGCTCCACTTTTCGAGCGCATAGTCCATTACTTCCCCATGTTTTTTTGTTTTATATTTGCAACAAAGGCAAGACAACTGTTATCCTGTGGTCTGAAAGAATCAGAAAGGAACATTAGTGGTGACGCGCTTTCATTCAAAATTAAGGGAAAGACGCAAATCACCTGGAACCGATGGAAACTGACGCACACACTTGCATGTCCCCTAAGTATTTTTCAACTTGAGGGACATAATTGTGTGCTTTCTGACTTAACACACCTTAAGAAACCATTGAACACTGATTGGACACAACGTATCACAGTGTTAAATATGAATTCTACAGTAACCACTGCAATAATGGAATAAGCACAAAGCTGATTTACTTCTGGGCTCCCTCGTCTTGAAGTCAATTGTTTTTTAATCACCTGTGGTTAATACAATGAGATTATGAGATTTGACTTTGAAGTCCTAAAAGCAGCGGTTGCTAACAAGCCAGACGGGAAGTCATGGGAACATCCGGAGTTGGTTTATGGCCTAACGTCAGCTGTTTATTGCGATTACATTCACTCTTTAACTATTATTAAAGTGGTGTTAATACGTGTAGGTTATTCTGCTAAACAACACGTGTAAATATAATAAATGTGTGCTTGCCATTGATCTTATCTTATGCAATATTCCTAAATCCAATGGAAAAATCCCGTTACTTATTGTTGAGTGAGCCCTTGCGATGCTAACGTCCGAGTTGGCATACAAAAATACGTAATCACTGCAACACTATTGCTCTGTACAAAAACGAAATGAAAACCCACCTGGAATTCAGTGCTGGTGTTGCCAATCTGATTGACGTTAGGCAGAGAGCCATAGTACTGCGCCCGGGACTGAGTCAAGCGAAGCTGCTGGACCTTCTGAAACTGCACCTGTTCGTCACAAAGGGGAAGAAAAAAAATAAATAAAAATGGTCAGGATTTTTGAATTTTGGACATCTTCAAGTGTAAAGCACATATAACTTCCAGTAAAAAAAACGTACACTTTCATATAGGGCTTTTCTTTTTCACCATTGTCACTGTTTCTCAAATGAGAGTCAAAAGTCTCACTGTGATTTCTTTATTTTTTCTATGTATACCTCTTGAAAGCAGCATAAGCAAACTGCATGGAAGGAATTAAAGACTTTTGAGACTTATTGTGAGACAATAGGCTACTACAGAATTAAAACAGCAACCATAACTCAATCAGACAGACATTCACCTACATTTACACCCATTTGCAAAAAAACAAGGAATCATATGCTTTCATTAGTAATGCACAAATGCATCCAAAATAACTGACAAAAATGCAGCAATAGTTGCAATCTCTAGTATATGTGCAGGTTGGCATCTAAACCCAGCACACTACCAGGAGATGAGATGACACAAAGATATCCTCAGAAAAAAAGAAGAAGCTTGTTCTGCCAAGGTAAGCAAAACAGAGCAATCAGCAGCTGTTATCAGGAAAACGAAAATCCGAGGGTAATTCTTCCTTAGACTACCTAAATGGCAACATTTGAATCTCAAAGGCTGACCTTGTTTCGACTTTATCAATGGGATTTACAGCGAACGGACAGAGATCTCTCACAGAGATTATGAACATGACAAGATATAAGGGATGGGTTTAGGGGCTTAGAAAGAGTGAGGTAAAACTCTCTATTTTGGTACAACATGTGTCACTTTACGTGCGGTTACTATGATGAAGTGTCAACTAGGGCTGTACCCGAATATCCGAATATTCGGTCGTTGGCCTACTATTCGTTTTTCAATTTCGTTATTCGGATATTCGTTTTTTATTTTATTTTTTCTAAATGTATGCTATCAATAAAGGCGAATTGCCACATTCTTATACTATATTTATACTTTTTAATTGCACTGTTAAAAGGCGGAAATATATACAATCTCAGCTTGGGCGCCTGACATCGCTTTCAATAGCTAGTTCTGATCGATATGGACATAAACGCGAGTGAAGTCTAATCTGACGGGAGAGAGAGATCAGCTGCTGCTGACGAGTCGACACGCAGCTCTGCATACTGTAATCACCTGCAGTGGTGAGCAGAGCAAAACACACACACACACACACACTTCAGGTTAGAAAATCACACGTAGCTATTTTAATTACCTCTCAAACTACCTAAACTAGTTATAGATATGTTTAGTTTTACTGTCGGGTCACTCATTACTGGATCAGCGATCTGCATGAGATACTGGCGGGCTGTCAGGAGAAGGAGAGAGTGCTCTGTTTATTATTCCCGTGTTATTATAAATGACTGTACACTTTTGAATAATGTAGTTAATCTACTATAATTAGTTTGTTTAATATCAAATCATCAATTTGTTTTAAAGCTCAATAAATAACAAAGAAGACATTTGACCGGCACTTTTCTCATTTTGTCCGGAAGATTTAAACTTTAATGGACATGTTAGCTTAGTTGTTGTCCAGTTGCCATGATGAAGCTGCTTTATCCACAGTTTAAACAGTAACGTTACACATGATAACGTTACTGCCGCGCCGCGCCAGTTTCTTGCCTCAACAGAAGGAACAACAATCCTGCCAGTCATGCCGTGGGTACCTTCCCTTCTCTCTGCACTTTGCCTTACAAACCAAGAGACAGCATCTTTGATTCTGAGAAAATACTTCAACCTTGAAAGCTTTTTCCAAACCTAACCACTGCTTTAGAGGAGGCACATTTCACACCATCAAATACAAAAATGTCACAGTGACCAAAAATGTGAATTACATTTTGACAGTAGCCAGTGTGTCAGATAACTCCTCCTGCTGCCGTGACACATGACAAACATACTTCTGATAATATTGTGATTACTTTTGGCGTAACACCAGTGACATTTAATTTTCAATCTAGGTCAAATCACCAAATATGATTTTTTATTTATTTTTTAAACCAAATCCGCATTTAAACCTCTTACACCAGTGTTGGCGTTAGGGATTACATAACGGCAGACGTGCAGACTTTACACACTTATGGTTCACAGGGCCGCCAGCAGCTGAGAGAAGGCTGGGGTCTGTGTGGGTACTGCTCCTATGAGCCCCTCAGAGGGAGTTATATTCAGTCCTTTGGTCACTGGGGTAAATGTTGAAGCAGCGACTTCTAATTCCAGCTGTTTGCCTCAGCCTAGCTGACTGGACTTTTCTGTCTCGCAAGGTCACTTACAGTTCATACCTTATGGCATACTTCATTCAAAACCACATCCTCTTTGACTGGCCATGCAGGAGTCTCCCACTCATAGAATGAGCACATTGTGAACCAATGGCACGAGTATAATGTGAAAAGCATCTTTATATCCTCCCAGAGTGCACTTTTTTTATTACTTGGAATGTGTAGTGTATATGCTTCAAAGGATCATGAGATATACAGAAAGAAATATATCACAAAAATAACAGCTCCTTTTAAAAAGCACGTTGACCAATGTGAAATACAGTAAGCTGCTTCAATTACAGATAAAAGCCACAAATATGTATTTCCCTTTGTAAATGACAACTGGAGATCTGAAAAAGTGTCTTGAATGACTGGTGACCCAAAGTCTTTAAGAAGTAAACACCAAACATTAAACTCAAACTGTTGGCATCAACATTAATCTTCCTTATCAAGTCTCACCATCTCCTTTGGAAACCACAGGCATCATTATTTTTTCAAAAAACAAGTTGGCGGATGAGCCATCAGCTGAACGTGAAACCAATGATTATTTCTAAATACGATAAAAATCTATTTTTTCTTTCCATTAAACATCACAAGTTCCCAGTGCTCAGTGTCAGAAACACAATATCTATGACATAGAAAAGCAGTAAATAGTTACCAGATCATTTTCAGTTGAGGTTTTTTTTTAGCCATCTTGGCTCAAAGAATTGCTTATTTTCTAAATAGTAGTACAAATAGATAAAGCCATAGTTGAAAAATAGACTCCCACCTGGTTCCAACCTATTTAATGGGACGATTTGGTATTTTTTATATCATTTGAACTACAATATCTTTGAGTTTTGACCTGGTGATGGACAGCGATCCCATTTTTCTTACATTTGAAAGTCCTACAAATAACATAAGATAATATAGAGTGAAATGGTTTGTCTTTTTTCATGAAACAAGCCACTTAGAAACTATTTGAATCGTTTATAAAAGACGCTTATGCTCCACTCTAAAGTCACTGTTTGAGATGAATGTCACAATACAGCACAGCATCTAAACATGACATACAAATCATCTGACATTGGCTGTTTTGAGACCTCATCAAGGTTCTAGAGAAATACCATAAGTCGTAAGTATACATTATGGACACCTGAGCATCTGCGCAGCAAATGAATGAGAGCATTAGCTAATAGATGTAAATGTAAATATGAATGATACAGTATGTCCAAATGATGTGCCATCCTCGTCATCCCACACTACTAACTCTATGCAGAGGAGGCACATGAGGTTTTACCTCGGGAATTCATTAAAAATAATGGAATAACAAAGTGCAGACACAGCAGCCTGAATACATGCATACTGTATATTTACAGGCAACAGTGCTTCCTTTGGGTATTCATAAAGAGAGGGGCTTTAGACGGGTGGTGCAGATTAAGAAGAGCTATTTTCTCAATGTCCTGTTATACTGTTGCAATTAAAAAAAAACAGGTCTGGCACTGTTTATGTTACATATTGGATTTTGTATGCTGTTCCTATTTATTTTTGAGAGTTTTAGTTTGGGTACTTCTTTTTTGCAGTAATTTTTATTACATTGACCATCTATATATTTGCAGCACATAGGGTTCACCCTTGTTGAATGGAGTGGTGTAAAGTAACAAGTACATTTACTGAAGTACTACTAGTTAAGTACAATTTTGAGGGACTTTTTGCTACTTCTACCAGACTACAATTCAAAGTGAAATCTTGTACTTTTACTCCACTGTATTTATTTAATGTCTTGAGTTACTTTGCAAATGTGAATTAATATTGTTAAATACTAACAACACTTTAGTTACACCTGGAGTAACATTTGCAAGCTACCCTGCACTATACAAAGTACCTACAATTATCTCCACATTTACTCTGTATAACATATTAATGCATGCATAATTATGATACAAAAATAGAATATAAATTATTCCAAAATGGGCCAATCTGCAGAATGAGAACTTTTACTTTTAGTGCTTTAAGTATATGTTGATGCCAATTACTTGAGTAACATGTTTTTTATTTTTATTGCAGGACTTTTAACAGAATATTCCTACACTGTAGTACTTCTACTGAAGTACAATATCTGAGTACTTCTTCCACCTCTGGTTGAATGGATGTAGGAAGGGAAACAAGAAGTACTGGTGGTTGAATACCAGAAATTTGAGTGAGCAGAGGAAGTCCATCAGACTCACTCCAGCCCAGGCAGAGTGAAAGAATACAGCTTTGTCCTTAAACACAATGAACGCATTCGTACAAAAAAGGGCCACAATTAGCTGAACATTAAGTGTATTTACCCGTGAAACAGTGAGGTCTGTCATGAGCTGCTCAAAGGCCCGCGTCTCCTCTGCTTGCTTCTGGTTGTGCAGCGCTATCTTCTCGCTGAACTTCCTGGGGTTTGAGCCACCTGTGCCCGGGGAGCCGGACATCGTGCGGGCCGCAGTTTTACAACTTCAGCTACTTTGAAAAAAGTGGTAGATGGGGCTGGGAGTTTACTGTCCAAAGTCTTCCAGTGAGCAGTGCGGTGAACCCATTAGAGTTTTAAAAACATACCACACATCGCTGTTTGGTTAAAGTTAATTCAGTGTCAACTGCTGCAGAATCACAACCGAGTCGCTACTGTGAGCGGAGCTAGTAGCTAACGTAGCTAAGCTAACGTTAAAGCTCCAGTTTATAAAAGTTGTCTTATTTTTCTGTGAGTAAATAAAGCGTTTGTAAATTATGTGTTTACAATGTAACTTTAATTATTTCCGAGCAGAATGACGTGTTTATTAGAATAAATTACTGGTACAATATAACTTCATATTTCCAGCGAACCACTTGTTTGAATCTGTCGTTATCATAACGTTAGCTGTCATGGCTAACATAATGCTGGAGGTGAACAGTTGGGTAACAGCCGCAGCTAGCCAAGTGAGCTAAGCTGCTGTCAGTGCCATCACAACAATTATGAAAAACGCACTTTGCCAACTTGTGTACACTCGACCTCGGTCAACATCTAACATACTTTTAAACGAGCAATGAGAAGAGAAAGTTGTTAGCCTCGATAGCTAAATATCGCTACTAACGTTAGCAAAGCTCCCGAGCAGATGGGCAAAGGTTTGTTCGGTAAATTATATTTCAACAAGTGTCCGCTGGACTGGTCCGGGCGTAAACTCAATATCGACTTTATGTTACCAGAACAATTGTGAAACCTCCACAACACCACTATTCACTTGTGATGCAGGAAAATAATCCAACATTTCACTCTTAAACTGATATCACAGCGCTTTTTAGGAGTCGGGTCTTCTTCTGTTAATCCACGGACAGCGAAGAGATTTCAGACAAACTCCAAGCCGACGACTCCGGTGAAAATAAACAAACAACGCCGAAAGAAAAGCGTTTCTCCTTCGTCGCTGCTGAAGCAGAAGTCTTCTGAGAGATTGCTGCCAATGTTTTCAGTTTATTAGCGTGGGTTGACACTGCTTGTAACAGCAACTCAGATCCGCTGGCTTGTTATCCTCATACTACTGCGAGAAAAACATTACCTCGTTAAACACGACCAATACCTTTGATGTCCACAGGGCGGCGACAGAGCCATTATACTGACTCAATGCGATTACCATACTGCCAGCTCGTGATGGCGAGATGAATTCAGCCTTATGAAGCTTTGAAGCTTTCCAGCCAATTGGTTCGCAAAAGGGTTCATCTCATGAGACTTCATCATGGGCTTCATTTGAACACAAACCAAAGTGTGTAAAACAGGCAGATTTTATGGGATTAGTTTTGTGTCATAAAGATAAAGCAACACTTTCTCAGAATCAAGCAAAACTAAGAGTTTAAGAGAAAAAAGAACTGAGTCAAGCTAAATACATTTAATTAAAAAAATAAAACTATAAGTTGCAAACAAATCATGTGTGTAATCATGTAAACTGTAAGTCTTTTTTCTTTGTTTTCGAATATCTTTTTGTTTGCGGTTCTCTTTGCTTCTTTCTCGATCAGACTTTTGCTCTCGCTGCAGCTCTTCTCGTTTGCGCTCCTTCAATTTTTGTTTTCGATTCTGACACAAACGTCCCAGGTGGGCGGGACTTTCAGGGGTGCGTCCCCATTGGCTACTCAGTTTTTGAGTGACAGCCCACTACACCACAGATCATACAGTGCAATTTATGCAGCAAACTCCGGAGTCCACTCGGCCACGTTAGTGTCGGTGCCTCCTGGGGAGTTTTCATGAAAATATCGGATTTATTTTATGGATTGCTGTGCATTATACTTGTATTGTGTAGTTTATACTTTGTTCCAACTTTAAATATTTTAATACCTGAACACACTGCTGCTGTAAAATAATTTCTCAATTTGGGATCGATAAAGTGTCTGTCTATCTATTTATTTATTTTATAGATAAAAAAAACACATCTATGTTTTTTCAAGCTAAAGGTGATACACAATATAAACTGTATACTGTTGTTTTTTCAAAGACATGTTACATTTCAAAAGCATATATTGCTATGTTTAGGACAAACAATTAAAGACTGCTTTAATTTAACAAATTCTACAATATAAAAGTGGCAGATTTGCTTTATTAAACAGACCAGACCTAGGTTGCATACCAACAAAATTAGGAACATGCTCACATCTTACTATGTTGGTCTGAAGAGCTGAAGCATTCATACACAAAGGATAAAAACTGTGTTGTCTCGTTCTATATCCTGTGAGAAAATGATATACATTTAGCATTAAAAATTCGTCATACTATTCCTGAGGAAGGTATGAATAGTCAACAGATTTGAATGGAATCTCTAACATTTTCATGTAGAATAAAGACAAAAGAGTGACATTACATTTATTTAAATTTGAACCAGAAGATGAAGTCTCAAATAATGTTTGAAATAAAAGGACATAAAACAAAAAGGTGGATAATAATAAAATCTATTAAATGTATATGTAAAGACATTTGGTCAAATGAAATGACACTGAGCAAGTGATAACAGCAACGCCCAGCGTGGATGAAGATGGTGCAGGTCTTTCGCGAAATAATCTGTGACGTGTTTGTGTGTATTGTGTTTGTTTCCCGGGGAAATACTCACAATAAACACCGGCTGTTGTTATGCCTGCTGTGACGTTAAGTTACCGCTTGTAATTATGTTTATGTATTAAGTTTAATATTCTAAAAACCAAGACTTTGTTTATTTGAAATCAGATGAAAACAAACTGTCACGGACCCTGCCGTGTTATCTATGATTAGCCTACTATTATGCTTTTCATTCATAATTTCAGCGGGAGGGAGGGGGAGCGGTGCGGCGCTGAGGAACAGCAGAATGCGGGTTGACAGGTGCCTGTGTTGACACTCCCCTTATTGTGCGTCAGCAGAGACAGGCTACAAGTGTCTTAGGTTCAAGTTAGACAACTAATGTCTGGGTTAGTGTTCATGACTTCATGTTTATGTCATCTTAATGGTTAATCTCAATGCACACACATTTTCCGTGCTTTCCAATAGTTTAAAATAGTTGTATTCCTCTGTTAAATAACCTGTTCAATACAAACATTCCACTTGTAAAAATTAAATAACATTTCTGTGAACTGATATTTGTTTAGTGAGCTTATTAGAGGATGTTCCTTGAAAGATTGTAAAATGTCAATGAAGATGTCAGACTTAGTATATTTGTTAATAATTACATACAATACATGTAATTTGTGTGTGTGTGTGTTCCAAGTGAATCTGTGGCCCCCTGGTGGCCAGTACATCAATTATGTGGCCCCCACCACCATCAAAGTTGCCCATCCCTGGTTTACATGATTACACAAATGATTTGTTTGCAATTTATAGTTTTATTTTTGAAATTAATTTTATTTAGCTTGACTCAGTTTTTTTTCTCTTAAACTCTTAGTATTGCTTTATCTTTATGACACAAAACTAATCCCATAAGATTTGACATCTCAGTGTGCTCTATCTCATATCGAGTTCCCAATGAGTAAAGCCTTAGAATAACTCTAAACAACGAACATAAAATCATATTTTCATGTTAACACTATTGTATTTATTGCAGTTTAATGATTGTGATAGAAAAGCCTAAGGATTTGTATTCCTTAATAATATTTGTAAACTTAACCATGTTGCCTGAGAAAGGCTAAACCATATCAAAGAATACATTTATTAACTACATTATCTATAATAATTTAGCTGTAGCTTTTAATAAAAAAGACTTATTGACCAGTCGTTGAACCAGGGACCCTGCGGTTGTGAGTCAACTGCTTTCCAGCTGAGCCACAGCCCACACAATGAATCTACCTGAAAATACTGCATTCTATTCCTGTATTTATTCATTTATTTATGTTTTTATTCCTACATTTATTTATTCTTTTATTTATTTATACTTATGACATGTTCCGACCTCTATATAAGTGAGGGTCTGAGCTCTCTTAATTCCATCTTGTCACCGGGCCCGGGTACAGGAGGGGTAATATCGTTCTTATTATACATCCATGGGTAATAGAGTGCCACAGTGACTCGTCCTAAAACCTGGAAGTAAGTTAGCATTTTACCACTTCCGGTTCCTTCGACAAAAATGCAATGCAATTTCTCCATAGGATTTTGGAAAATAGTTCGAAATAAGGTCTGTGGTTGACACAAATTGAAGAGACAGATCACGTTTTGTTCAGCCGGATAATATCCACATGTCTACCCTACTTTTATAATTTTCGAATCATAAATCGAATCGATAGATTAATTTTTTTTAGGACGCGTCACTGTGGCACTCTATATGAGCGTTGTAGTTCAACCGATCTAAAGCACTTTCTGAAGCAGTCACGTGGTATTGAGGGGCAGCGAGGCTTCGTTTGTCATCAGTGACGTCACTGGCCCAAAACGATACAAGCCTCGATACAAGCTTCACAAAAAACTTCCGGGATTACTCGACACACGCTCCGAAGCCTCGGCGCAATACGTAACATCACTACTGCCAGCCCTTATATCACTATTTATAGATTTTAATTGAAGATCACTTATATACATAATACAAATTTAAATATGCAGTTAGATTAAATGTACACTGTCAATCGTTGGTACTGTATTTACTGACATGTTTTAATGAGTCTTTAGTCTTGCAATTCTAAATGCACGATATGTTCTTTTGTAGCCGAGATCAAAGTAAGTTACTCCTCTCAGGTTGCCACTGCCAGTTCTGTTAATGGTGACTATATTAACTCATATTTGTTTTCTAATGATGATTTATTGACACTGATTGATACTTGTATTCCTTTTTATATACATTGAAGCTAATCCTTTTGAGTTAGTTCTGATCTTGCATTACAAGAGCCAGTAACAAAAAACACAGCAACTGTCTGATTTCAGAGTAGCCTTATCCAAGAGTATTATTACAGTAGATTACTTATTTTGTGATCCTATACTTAAATGTCATGTAATTTGTATTTAGAAGGCCAACTGACTTATTTTCAAAGAAGTTTGACACCACCCTGAAATCAGGATATGCTTTCTGTTAAAAACATGTTTTTACAAGAAGACAGAATCACACAGCCCTATTTCCATAGGCATATCTTACAGACATCCCAATATTCGAAGTGTTACTTACTAGGTCAAATGAGATAAGGTAAAGTTAAATAAGGATTTTGAGGTTTTTTTCCAGAGGGAGTTTCTCTCCCACAAACTCCCCCCCCCCCTGCCTGAAACGCCTCCATTGGACTCCTTTGTTTACCTCAGTAACATGATGACATCACTATGTAACACTCGCACTTCTATTGGCTAGCGCTCCAACACCTTATGCTTGTTAGGCTAAAGGTCCTTACACACCTAAACTGACACCAAAGAACACGTCCCGACGGAACGTCACCTCACGTCTTGGCCATGTTTTGCACTGGAACACATCGCAAAGACTTCAGCCAACGGCCAAGTTGCACGTAGGAACTGCGCATGCATGAGTGGCAATAACTCTCCTTACCAGCAGGCGTCGGTAGTGTGTATTCGTCATTCAAAAGAGGCAACAACCCGAAGACGGGGTGTTTCTCAATCGCGAGTAAAGCTGCTTCAGAGCCACTATTTCAAGCATACTACGTCATAGAGTGCCGCCGAAGTACTGTTCCAATCTCCAGCATACTTGGAAATCTACCGAGCCCGGCGTACTTCGTAGCGAGAAATTTCGAGGCTGCACATGTGTAGACTCCGCGGACTTAAAATGTGCTACCAAGCAAGCGTACTCGCGATTGAGAAACACCCACAGACTGCGTGATACACATAGGGTGTTTCTCAATCGCGAGTACGCTTGCTTGGTAGCACATGTCTGCCGAGCATCTTGCTTCAGAAGCGAGTCAAGAATACTTCCTGACATTCGGAAAACAAAGAGTGGAACACGCTAGCAAGTGTGCAGGTGTGCGTCATATGAGAGGCCCCGCCTTACATCTTCCACCACAGATTTGGGGAAATTGGTCCGTGCGCAAAGCATTGTGGGGATTTTAAGACCGCGAAGTCTACTCATGTGCACACTCGATATTTCTCCAAACGGAGTACGCCGGGCTCGGTAGATTTCCA